CCGCTCGAGCTCACGTGACCGCTCCCGCGAGCTTCTTTTCGTCGTCTTAATTACGCTTCCCCGCGCGCGCTCTCTCCCGATGAAACGAGCCCGGTAATGCATCGCCGAGTAACAAGCGAGGATCTAGCTCCCGATGAGAGAGTCCCTCTCAATTTGCACGCCCGGCGCGCCCGAAAAAAAAGTCGAAGACGCGCGCGACCGAGGAGCCGTAAAGTGACAAATGTCGTCGAGCTGCGTTTATCGTCGCGCGTTTGGAATTAAGCTCTTTAGCATCTCTCGTCGTAAGATCCAACAGTCGTAAAACCGGCGCTAGCATTTTTCAAAGGGTGAGAGTGGGAGAGAGCATTTCCGAGTGGCTGAGCCGGAAGTAGCAGCTCAGCACAAACAGCCCAGCCGTGTGTGCACCCTCCCCTCTCCCCCATTTCTCTCTCTCTCTCTCTCTCTCTCTCTCTCTCTCTCTCTCTTTCGCAATCTCTTGCGGGTACTTATTGTCGAACTACGCCCGCTGGTTTATGCCTCGACTCTCCTTTCTCCTTTTTTGTGCGCTGCAGTTCGATCTTCACCGATGAAATATGCGCTGGCACACACGTTATTCGGCTAAGCAGGAAATGTGTCGCCGTATATAACTCGCCTTGCTTTTGCTATGGGATCGCGCGGTGAAATGTACGTTGGTTTCAACCTAATAATATGTCCTTATGGGATTCTGACGGAACGCTTATGCTGCGTCATTAAACGATCGCAAAGGGATAAGCTGTCTCCTCCGTTCCCCCTCCTCCTCCTCCTCCTCCTCCTCTTTAACCAAAAGAAGAGAGTAAGAAGAATACATTCAATTCAAAACCACTTGCTCGCTCGAGAAAATCTGCCTGGGTGTGCCGTACCGAAAAGGATGCCTTTTCTATCAAGCGCATACAACACTTGCGTCGTGATGTCTTTTTCAGTAAACTTACCGCGACCAACCCTTAAACTGTCTCTTCCATCCTCAGCCACCCCGTCTCCAAAAAAAAAAAAAAATAAGATAAAAATAAGTCAGCCATTGTGTCGTCGCCTAAATTTAAAGCCAATTTAATTTCCAAAAACGTATGTCGTTCATGAATTGACCTACTTGTCGCTTTACGCTCTAGCCGCACGTACATGAACTCCTCTTCGCGCGCCTGCTTGGCAATTAAATTCGTCCATATCGGGCTCAAAAGCATCAGACGCACACGCGCTAATCAAGCGTACATTAGCAGCGATGCACCCGCGTGCGTAGACCCAGGTGTGTTCATTCATGCACCTTTGTGGTCGCGACCCTCTGCTCCCCCCTCCTCTGTCTCGTCCAGTCGCTCCATATATTTTTAGGCGACCATTCGCGCACGCAAACACACGGCTGCGGATACGCGTAAGGCAACACGCTCGGGGCTTTTCGGCGCGTGCAAGCGCGGGGCGAAGAGAGCTCGCAGCCTCGTAGCAGCGCAGCAGTAGCCGCCCCTCCGCTCTCCGTTCCACTGCTGCAGAGAGAGAGAGGTATTGATTCCTCTCGGCAGCGGCGGCGGCGGCGTCGGCGGCGGCAGCAGCGACGGCGGCGACGGCGCGTGGAGTGCGAGCAGCAGCGAGTATATACGCGGAGAGACCCTGTTCCGGCAGAGCGCCGCGTCAGTCGAGCGGCCGCGAGCCTTGGGTGTGCAGTGCGTGCGACGAAGCAATCGGTGCGGCGCCAGCGCCGCGCAAGCTCGCGCGCCGTGCAGCTTTAACGAGGACAGCCGAGCCTCCGCGAACCGCTGCCCGCCTGCCTGCCTGCCTGCCTGCCTGCCTGCCTGGCTGGCTGGCTGGCTGCCGCCGCCGGAGTCGTCCAACATGACGTCTCTCTCGCCTGGCCAGCAGCCAGCGCTGCTCCCCGCCAGCGACGCGCTGCCCCCGTCGAGCTGGCGCTGCCCTTCCTCTGCGACGACGCTCCTCCTGCGATAGAGCTCCCACTCGAGTGCCCAGCTGATGCTGCTCGCGCGCCAGGTAGCACGGCCGACATGGACTTTGCTAGGTTATTTTTGTACGCTCGGCGAGGACGACGCGCAGGAGGAGGCAGGAGAGTCGACGAGAGCGGAGGCGGTGGCGGAGGACGTGCGTGCGCCGCGAGCCGATGATGTTCGCCTGCAGCGGGCCACTCCGTCTCGTTGGGATACGCGCGCGAGCGAGACCCCAGGATTTGATCGCGCACCCGCGGAATTGCGACGCAGCAAGGAATTTCTGTTTTTCCAACACGAAGCCACGTAGTCTAAAATCGGCCGACTCGTCGTGATAAGATAATCGCGCGCATAAAAATCCGCCGAGTCTCTCTCTCTGTCTCTGCGTGCGTCGACGAGGTGTGCGAGTGACGCGTGTGTGCCTATGTTGACACGTGTGCAGTGCAGAGTGTAATCACGGCGCTGCAGCTCGGGCATTGATGCACACAGCTCGACGTGCAAACAGAGTGTGCGCGCGCGTACGTGTGCTCGCGCGACTCGACGAGAGACACTCGCCGCTGCTCCAGCAGGACAAAAATCGATCGACCGATTGCCAGATAAATAAGCCAGCTTCCTGCTCCCCCGGCGTCTTGCGCAATAGTTATAACGAGCGTACGTGGTCCGAAGCTGCTTCGAAAAAGAAAAAGAAAAAAAGAAGAAGGATAAAGCGCGGGAACATAGACAATAAGAGGCAGCAGAGGTGGCATGCGCCGGAAGCGGAAATGAGCCCCGCGCGAGGATCTCCAGCTGAGAGACAAAGTAAAGGCTAAACGAAAAGAGTAATAAAAGGATTGCCCAAGAAGAAGTCGTCGCGTAGTATGGTAGATGCCGAATGGTCCGAGGAAGGAAGGCCGTCGTCGAGTAGGTCGCCGCCGCAGCAAGCGAGCAGTAGCCGCAAGCAGCGCCAACAGCGTCCACGCAGCAAGAGCTATCTGGACCTGCTGAGCCCGGTGGGCAGCTACCAAGACCTACGCACGCTGCACAAGAAAAACTGCAAAAAGTATTTCTGCCTGTGCAAGAAGCACGTGGTCAGCGTCATATGCGTGAACGAGACGCGCAAGCTGTACTGGTTCAACAGTCGCAGCGTCGAGGATAAGATAAGCCAAGGCAACAGCGAGGGCTACTACATACGACTGCTGAGGATCGTCAACGGGGCGCTGAGCAACTGGGCCCAGCGCTACATCGACGGTCTCGGCTACAAGCTGGGCAAGAAAGCCGAGGTCGACACCGCCGCGAGCGCGCCGAGCGCCGATCGACGACCGGGCGCTGCTGGTGCCAGCAGCTGCGGCGGCGGCGGCGGCGCCAGCGGCGGCGCTGCCAAGAAGGCGCCCGCGAGCAAGAGGAGGCGCAGGAGCGCGGCGTCCACCGGCGCTAATATGCTCAAGATCAACGGCAGCGCCAAGGGCAACATGAAGCTGCTGAAGGAGGGCTGCTACTGCCATTATCACCCGCACATCACCGCGGACGTCTGCAATGCCGACTTTCTTAGGAGGGTCGTAAGTAGGGATAACCAAGCTGGCATTGACGAGAGTGACGATTTTGACGCGTTGACGCCTGCCTGGATGGTATTTATTGCTCTCACGCCGCCAGTTCTTTTATACTCTCCACCCTTCTCCGATTTCTCTGTCTCCGTTGCCACTTTATCCCACTGTTATCGCACCTCTGCCCGCATTATACGGCATCCCTCGCATACGCCACGGACGACTTTTCATCGTGATCAATCGCCCAATACTTCTCGAGATTGTTTATACACTCGGCAACGGTGTGTGTAGTAATCCGTGGGCCAGCCGGTGAATAAACACTTTCGCGGCTGATCAATGGAAGAGCGCAACGATGTCGCGGACAGATTTTTGCGTCCGTTAGATGCCAATGAAGTTCGAGAATCGCGCACACGCCGACTTGTGCTTTACGACGAAAGCTGAATATTCATGCGATTTAACGATTTTAAACTTCGCGACGGCCTCTCAAGCGCCGAATATCATAGCTTCATTCGACTATTCTCCTTTTCCAGATGTATGAAGGTTGTACCATCCTCTTTCGTCATTTCATTGAGATTCAATTAGAAAACCATTTTCGATACAATCACGGGAATTTCAAACTGCCAGCAGCCCATTCGACCTAGGGCGAGCACCCTTTGACCATAGCACATAAATCAGCTGGTAAAATGATGGACCATTATCGTAATTGAATACGACGACGATATAATGTTACTGGTGTTAACATGAACGCATATTCGTACGGCCTCGTGAGGGGGAGGTGGGAGGTGGTCGGTACGCTACATATACGTAGAGAGAGAGAGAGAGAGAGAGAGAGAGAGAGAGCTACGGTCAGACGATTGGAAACACATTTAGGACGTCTTTCGACAAATATAAATAGAGTTATCCGTGGTTTTAGTCATTGAGCGAGGTGGTGGTATTTTTGTTAAACGCCTGAGGCTTCGGATTAAGTTGTCATCGCTTCGAGCTTACGCACTTGAATCCCGTCAGTCACCAGCAACAAATCGTATTTTCGATGGCTGTTCGAACACACACTTGAGCTTTATTACTCATGATGAAGCATATTTTCTCTCGACTATTCACCTACCGTTTATTCTCCTTTCTGCAAAAGTAAGATTGATGCGATTAAACGAACGGTGATTAATCTTGGCATCGTACGATCTGCATACAAAGAGCAATTATATTTGCACAATTTCAATTGTAATTCAATGAAGTGAGTTTAGCGTGCGAGTATTTGCCCTAGTAAATCATAAAATATAACCTTGCATCTTGGTGTTGACGCATGGATCAATTCAAAGCACAATGAAACTTTATTGCAAAAGTTCTTTTCACAAAACCGAAAGTAGGGAGCAACGCGTAACATTCATTTCAATATACTCAAATTTCGAAAAAAAAAACGCTTCAATTCATAGTATAATCGACAGTAGCGACATTATCTCTATGTCTATGTGTGCATCCGTCTAACGAATTACCAAACTAAACCAAAATGTACGTTAGTTAATAGTGATTTGTTGTTTGTTTGCTGTAGATGTCCGATGACGATCGAATGTCATTAACGACGGCAGTTAGCGATGACGACGACGGTGAAAGCGTGATGAACTCGCCCCACAAAGGAAAACAAACTGGCACGGCAGCAGCATCCTTCAACTGCACTGGTGCAGTGCGCAAAGCAGGGTAATTATTATTGCCGCGATTTCTTCGACGATCGCGCGAAAACAATTGAATCGTCCTGATGACAAAAGCCAATGGCGGGAAGGGCATTGATATGTATGCCGACTAAAATCAGCATTTTTCACTGTGCCAAAAGTAAATGTATAAATTGCATTTGATTTACTCAGCCGAGAGGGGAAGGCTACAATTGCAGCAGAAGAACACAAAGCCAAGCGAAATGTCGAATTTACCTGTATAATGAAATTCTCGGTAATTTAAATCAATTATTTGCTCGGCCGGGTAGGTGGACCCAGAGAGAGAGAGAGAGAGTTGAGCGCGAGCTCATTCAACGTTCGTGCTGCACTTGAAAAATTCATTCGAACGAGAAAACAAAAAAAGCTTTATTATCCTCATCTCGCGTTGACTTAAAGCTTGAATTTTCATTTTGTTCTTTTCTTCTTTTGAGTGGAGATACATGCGCGCCCTCTTAATTGCGCTCGCGAGTTTATAATTCAATTCAAAATCGCTGATTTGTAAAAACTCGGTCAAAGATATATAATCCTCGAGGCGACGAAAGATTCGACATATATATTCGCAAGAAAAACAGCTAGACTCGTGCCAAAGGCGTTAAGTTGTCGATTAAAAAAAAATCTCTGCGGGAAGTTTAATTGCCGAGTCGATTGAAATACGATACCACTACGCTTCCGCGATTTTCATATCCGTTCGTAGCGTAGATTCATTTTATTCTTTTTTGTTTTTGTTGGTTGCCGCCTAAAAATGCCAGAGATTTTCGGTGTATGCGCGCGCGCATGTATTGGTCGCGTGACACACTACTGCAAAAAGAAGAGCGAGGGGTATTACTTTTATCGGTGACCTTTCGAAAAGCTTTTTTGGGGTTTAGGGGCTGAAAACGTTACGTCGGAGAGTGGTAATATGAGGCAGATTATTCGTGCTACCCGTTGTATTATTCGTGAATAGAAATATCGTTTGAATTTTCTTTTTTATCGGGAGAATTTTTGTATATATCTACTTGATAAAAAACGGGGAGTTTATTCGTGAGTTTAATATAGAAATTTAATTTAAATGATTATCAATACTTTGCAAACAAGAGTGGGAAACAATTTTCCGCAGAAGCTCTCTCTCTCTTATTTAAAAAAAAGAATATTGTCTAATCGAAATTTCGTTGTAAATCAATAAAACGTCCTACTCGGGACAGATTAATTTGGGGAGGACAAGTGTGTGTCGCATCTCCTAATCGAACAATGAATTATTATCATTTAAAAGAAAACGGAGAAGGACAAAACCACGTACTACAGACACGAACGTGATTATTCAAATAATGAAACGTCGCGTCGAAAAAATTGCTAATTGTTCGAGTGCTACGTCCCCGGCGGACTCATTAAATTACGCGCCCGCGGAAGCGCGAGCAATGAAATAAGAAAGGGATTATAATTGCAGTCCACGCCGCGTTTCAGTTTTTCCACGAGATACATCTTGTGAGCGCGAAGCTTACAGCCCGTATAACGTGAGCGCGGTGGCAGCGGCAATCACTAGCTATCGCCAAATTTGCGAAGGGCAAAACTTGAGCGGCAGCGGTCTTCGGTTCGCTTCGCGCGAGTACTATCGGCCGGGAACTATTTGATCGATTCGCGCTGCGGCAGAGCGTCTTTGAGCGAGTTCGAAACACGTTAGTCGAGGGCACGAGCGCGCGGAAAGAAGCGTTGGATTGTACGAGCGTGCAGCGTATGCAGCGAGCGTTATCCTCTGCAAATTGCTGACGTACGGGCTTCCGACTGCGGAGCTTCATCTGGACTACGGTGATTTTGGCTAACGACACTGGGCAAACAACATCGGCCGTACTTGCCGAGTCTTTTAGCAGATTAGCCTACCGGTGCTCGATGTTGCGTGTGTAAATGTACGCGAGCCGAATGATGCGACTTAAGCGAGTATTCGAAAAATTTCGCTCGAGCTCGATCGATTCTTGCTCTTAATATTTCAAAGTGGATACCGGTGCAGCCCAGTTGGAATACGGAAAATCACCGAATAATTTTTTTTTTTTTCGTACGTTTAACCAAGGGATTTCATACTTGCCGTTACATCAGCTCCGAGTATCGAAAAATAATTTTTCGTTAATCCTCTGAGATGAATTTCGTCTTCAGTGGCTGTAGCCATTAGGAGGTAGGCATGAGAGGAAAAGAGAGTCACTGGCTTAGGCAAAAATTGGAAGAGCCACGAGTCTTTGTCTGCTCTTACGTAACTCGGGTGAAACGAGAATACAAAAAAAGAAAGAAATATCTGGTCACTTTTTCGTTGACACGGTTACTCGTCCCTTTTTCCCATCTACGCACTATATGAAAGGTTCATGCTGATCATGTAAATTTTCCGGACGTGTTGGCCGATTATCTTACCTATGTTTTTTTTTCTTTTGCGCGGAGAGAGAAAAAGATAATACACAGTGCTATCTTTTTGTTTATCCGAGTTGAGATGGCAATCGTTACGGGCCCATCTGAAGAGTCTGGAAAATGGCGTTGATTTTGTCGGCGATAACAAGCTTCAAAAACATACCATGAGGAGGACGCAAGCTTTGAGGAATTTGCATATTAATGCCTTTCCTTAGCCATCGCGTGTTGTGCTCCGAGTTTGCTGACAGCGTAAAATGATGCCCTCGAACGTCAGACAACTCTCGAGTTCGCCGAGCCTCTCGTTGACGAACGAAGGACAAATGTATTTTCCGGCGCAAAATGAGATTGGCCGATGAGCAAGGGGGACGGAGAAAAATCGACGCGATCAAGCGAAATTGCATGTTCCCAGGTTTCTCAGCGTGAAGAAGTGGCTGCTACGTAAGAAGCATCAAATCGAGTTGGCGCGCAAACGCGGCTGGAAGGGCTATTGGGTTTGCCTCAAGGGTACAACGCTGCTGTTTTATCCCTGCGAGTCGCAAGAGAGTCGCGCGGTCGAGACGGCGCCCAAGCATCTGATCATCGTCGATGGTGCCATCATGCAGCCGATACCCGAGCATCCGAAACGCGACTACATATTCTGCCTGAGTACTGCTTTCGGCGACGCATATCTCTTCCAAGTGAGAATTCAAACTCCCTTCTTGTTTCTCGTACTCGTTGGTGCGCCCGCTAGACACGTTTCTTTCCTTGCGGTCGTCAAAGCCGTGCAGTTTTTGCTCGCTGCGCTTCGCACAGTATCGCGCCAAGCGGCTGCGTTTTCAAAGCAGTTCTCGCGAAAATGCCAATTCCTGTTGCATTTGCCCAACGCTCGAGACTTGATTTCCGTTAAACATGCGCGGGAGCTATTAAAGCGTGCCGGCGTCATATTTCACCCGCCGCGGCAACGTCCTCAACACGATAATCCGGACAACAGCTGCTCAATAACATCTTGAAATTCATCCCCCAAGAAATGTTGGCTAACGAAGTATACTCGCGTTGTTCCCCAATCTCGCGCTAAATATTCACGAGAAAAAACGCTAAATATTAACGCGAGAGCTGTAACGGCGCTCCTCTTTTTTGCCTCCTGCCCTCTGTCTATCCTGCGTGAAATTAAGAATATCCGCGCATAAAACGCCCGCGTATACATATTCATCGGCGCTCGGGGCGAAAACAAGACAGGTAAAAAACGAGGAAGACGGGGAAATGTTTGCCGGGCGTTCGGTGCACGAGAAGCCGAGCGAGCAGGTGAAGATGAATTTTCATGTCGTTTGTGCCAAGGCTCCGTGTCAAGTGGAGCTGGAGAACTGGGTGAACAGCATACACTCGGCTTGCGCGGCAGCGTTCGCACGGCACCGCGGCAAGACCGGCACGCTACACCTTCTGCAGGAGGAGATATTCCGTCTGGACAAGGCCATCGAATCGGTAAATTCAGCTTTCCGTCTATGCGTATAACTATTGTACGGCCGACGCGGGCATTTGCACGAGACATTGCGCGATGCGCGTTGCAGGACAACAAGATGAGGCACATGGCGGATCTGCAGCAGTCGGTGGTGTCGGACATCGACACCAAGCAGCAGATCAACAATCAAATTGTCCAGTACGAGGAGAATCTCGAGCGACTGCATTGCGAGCAGTTCCGGCTCAGGTGCTACATGGCAAGCTTGCAGAGCGGTGAGCTGCCTAATCCGAAGGTAACGACGCGCTTGGATTTGCAGGCGATCGCGGGGGGCGCAACGCCACTCATCGTCGCTTCTGTTTCCAGAGTCTTCTGACCCACGTTTCACGAGCAACGAAGCAGACGCTCAATCGACTTGGCGTGTTCACCGTGTCGTCGTTCCACGCGTTCATCTGCGCGCGCAGCCCGTCCCTGCTGAACAATCTGCTCGCCGGTCGAGGTGCCACCAAACGACGACCGTTGCTGCTTTCCAGATCCAATAGCGGCTCGAGTCGACGCTCACTGCAGATCTCGAGGGACGAGGACAAGACCGTCAAAGTCATCGTACCTGAGAATCAGGTCAGTGGTGCAGGCCGCGCCGGCGATCAATCGAAAACTCGCCCGGCTCGTCTTTCGCGTAATTTTCGATGCGCTCTTGCGTTTTGTTGGCCTCATCAAATGCAGCGCCTCGCGGTGATTTGATTTGCATTTGCTCTGGCGGCCAAGTTCCCCGTCGCGGCGGAACCGCTGACGGCGGACCGATTTTCACCGACCGACACGCTCGCAACGATATCGCCAGCTTTGATGTTATCAGGGACAATTTACAAGCGGCTCGGTCTCGCGCGCTAACAGCTTCCGCGGGGAACGCCACGGCAATACTCTTCGACAGATTTGTGCTCGTAACTCGCGCGAGTGCCGCGCGCCAAAAGAAAGCTACGAGAAAGCCGAGTAGAGGCCGTAAAACCGTGTAGCATTCCGCGCCGTCTTTTCATCGACATCCGTATTACCACCGCCAACGCGGCGCTGTAATTGTTTGCTGTAGATCGTGTCGGTTTTCCTGCGAGATGGGATGACTGTCGAGGAGTTCCTTGCCAGCGCCTGCAGCAGAAAAGGTTTGAACGCGATGGAGCACTTTGTGCGTGTGAAGAAGCGACGCGACATGGAGGATCACAATTACTTTGTGCCGCACAGAACCGACTTGATTGAAACATACGTAAGTGTAACACTCTATATCGGCACGCTTCTTCCTTTTCTTTGTTTTTCTTTGTTTTCTTTTTAATGACTGTTGCAATATCCATTGTAATAATGGTGTCTAGGTGAGAGAAGGGAAAAAAGCGTGAAAATATTATCGATGTATCGGTATAAATAACTTTCTCAGTATAGACTCGATCAAGGTTCTTCAATGGAACAGCCGTTCGCGTATCTATTTCCTCTTTTTACGAATGGTGCAGCTAACGTTCACGTCAAAATTTTTATTTGAAATTCAACCTAGGCGTGTTAAAATTAGCCATTATTTTATGCACTAGAAAATTGAATTGAGAAAATTATTGATTGCGTTAATGGTCGACTCAACAGCTGCACACGCACGAAGTGGTCGAGGTGTGCGCGAAAATTCTGTATCAAGCGGAGCTCCAACGAAATCTGCTCGACCAGATGTGGGGATTCTCGGTGGAGGCCGAGCTCATTGAAAACGCCGACCGACAGGACGAGCTTTGCTGTTACGTTAGCCGCGTCGAGGATAAGAGCGTGGCCATGCATAACGGTAAGTCCATCGATAGATTATACGAGAGTACGATAATAAAAATCGCCCCCTCCCCCTCCTCTCTGCCGCGACAACAAACAAGGGGGGGCATCGATTTTTTACTACCGCTGACGTGAGCAACGGGCAGACACCTGCTCACGCGCAGATAGAGCTGCTGCTAGTCTCAACGATTAATTAGTGCGCGCGCGCTCGGAGTTTTTTTAGAGTAGCGCGATAAGCAAACCACCTTTCTGCCCTTCGAGTGGAGGACAAAGAGAGAGAGAGAGAGAGAGAGAGAGAGAGGGAGGGAGGAAGACTTTTTTTGCTCAATGTCGGTAAATCATTTGACTGGTACGTTTTACATGAAAACTATACGGATGAATGGTTCCTTGACGGGGCGTTACTTTTATTTTCAAGGAAATTCCACGTACGGAAGACACTGGGATTTCGATGTAACACTTTTATAGTCAGGGTAATAAATCTTTCCTGTTGGAGAAAAAAAGGATACGAAGAGCGGCGTTGCAGGAAGGGCAACGCGAGTTGTTATATGCGCCATATTTATTTATAGGCTTTTTACGTAGGATGTGCCAAGACTTTATCGCTTTTCAATACAACTTCGGGCGCGCGAGATGCACACTTTAGTTGTGTAACGGCCGCCATCGGTAGCGCAACGTATCACTCACCGGAGAGAAATGAAATAGAAATTGAATTTATTTTCGTTCATCGGACAGTGACGACCGCGCAGCGCTGAATTACGCGCTATAGAGGGCACGACGGATCGTAGCAAAAGGAAAAGAAGAAAATTTAAAAAGAAGCGATAATCGTTTATTAATTGTTCTCGTGCAGGTATAATCAAGGGCGACGAGATCATGGTACTAAACGGGGCAATAGTTAGCGATTTGGACATGATGTACCTTGAGAGCGTTCTGCAAGAGGAGCAAGCCTTGTGCATGATGATGCGTTCGTCGCGCACCGAGCCACCGGATCTCAGTGGCAACATCAGGGTCACCGATGACATCGAGAGTCTCGTATGTCCACCACCTCCCATAGATCCACCTGTGATCAGCGAGGAAATGATCTCCGGACTAATTGTCCCAGCACCTGGATGGTGTGAGTATTTATCTTCACGCTTTGCTACGCTTATTTGTTAATTAACTGGATTTCCTTTTACGACCAATTGATAACTGTTGAGCAGTGAATAACGACAATTCGTTGGTCGACTATGACGAGCTTCGAGTTTTGGTTTCGTGGCAAATTCGAAATTTTATTATATTTGCATGCCAAATGTATCGCGGATATTTTATTCATCAGTCATGTTGATATTGATATAGCTTGGATTTTTGTCCATCGGTGCAGCAACTTAGTTTTTACGGTTAAAAAGACATTTCCGACGAGTGCTAATTAAAGCTCAATAATTGGCATTCAATTAGTGTGCCATTTACCGTCGATAATTGCTGCGAAATCGTAATCAAGCCTAATATTCTATTTCGTACCGCATTGAAAATGAATTTTTTATTAGACGCTAAATCGGCAATTTCGCGCCGATAATTAAAGCGGCAGCTGCATCGCTGCAAGCGAAAAAAACGTTAAAAGCCCGCGAGTTTGCGCGTGGATTTATTCGCTGGCTAAAAGCTTCGCAACGGAATCGACCTCGATGTACGCTACGCGTAAGGTTCATTTGCAAGCCAATTAAATATGCGACCAATTCAAATATGGCTAGCCGGCGAAGTGGAGAAAAAAAAATCAGATATAGCTCTCTGAGCACGTAAGGATGTCGTTAGCACGAGATTTATAATGAGGGTGTATGTCTGTGTGTCTATGGGGGGAGAGGGGGAAGGCACTGCTAAAGCTGCGAGCACGCGATGCGCGCATATCGTATGTAGGTCGTCGCCGTCGGCGGCCGCAGCGAAATAGTAGGAAGGAAAGCTCGCGAGCGACGACGGCGGCTGCAACGACCACAGTTCGATATAACAGTCGCAGGGGGTAAGCAGCGCCTCGCGCGACAAGCCATCGTCCGACGCCCGGCCTCGCCGCCGAACTACTCCTCTTCGGCGAATCTTTCCGCTCGGCCTGCACTTTATCCCACGCCTCGGAGGATCCTTTCGCTCGCGGCTTCGCGATGGAGCAGCTCTGCGTGCCCGCGGCTCAAGATCCGCGCGAGTTTTCCGATGTGTCTCGTATCTTTTCACGCCCCGCGCTAATTAGCGAAGGCTTCGTCTACTTTTTCCTCTTTGATTTTTCCGCGACGCGCGGAAGCGCAAAAATGGCATTGTGAAAGTTAACGCTGACAGCGCTGGCGGCAGCACCGCTCTCTGACACGTAACATTCGCTAAGAATTTTCCTTTTTTTCACATTGCTGCGCGCCTTTTTTATTAATAAGGGGAACCCTGAGTTTTTTTTTCTCCCTCGTGTAGGTCTTTTCAGAAAAATCCCTGCGTGTCGTACATAGCCGGTTGGCAATGTTCAAAGGGGCATGGATATGTATAGAAAAATACTGCCTTTAAATATAGCGAAGTGCACAACGAGATGGTGTAACGCGTTCTTGAACGCAAATTAACTTTGCGTCCAGCCGGTGGAAAAATAACGTGCATTGTAATTAAAAAAAAAATAATAATAATAAGTTACATTTTACATTAAGTTACCGTTACCTTCACTTATATAGATGTGCTGTAAGAATAATTGCATCTTAGTTGAAGGACTATGCTTATGTCGCAAAAGAGCTAGTTACTAAAAGTCCTTGGGGCTTTTAGTACTCGATAGGCAAAATAACGTGCGAATTTGTTGACAAGTCTAAATACGTGAAACGATTGTGCGTTGCGATAGGCAAAGAAGCGACTGCAGACTCACTAGGCCACATGGAGAGCAAGCAAGGATCGCGTACGAACTCTTTCGAGATCGAGAACCTACTGAAGACGGCGGAACAGGTGACGGGAATATGCCGCTCGCCAGGTGAGACGCGAAAGTCCAGTCCGACCGGAAGCGTGCTGAGCTCGCACTCGCAGATGATGACACCAAGTCGACAGCTGAGCGATGCCGAGAAGCTGAAAAAGGTCATCCTCGAGCTCGTCGAGACCGAGCGGACTTATGTCAAGGTACGTTTTCCGGCCGACGGTCAGCTTTCTATAGCTTGACATTAATCATCGTGCATTTCACTCGCGGACGGTTATGTCAATGGCTCGTTATGGAATTGAGCTTTGAAATTTGAGTTATATCCAATGCTTTGAGTGGCTTCGACAGCGTTCACGGGATTAAAACTCGTCCCGTAACGCGATTATTGCGTCGTTTCATCGAACTCTCATAAAAATGCTTCTGCGGGCAAATGACAACAAAAATGTACGTTCTTTTGTTTCTAGAATTTGAATAATTTATTGGAAAACTATCTGGAACCTTTGAAGCGCGAGACATTCTTGTCGAATGCCGAGGTGAATGCCCTGTTCGGCAACATACAAGAAATCGTAACGTTCCAACGGCAATTTTTGCAAAATCTCGAACATGCAATCGAAGTTGAACCAGAATTCAATAAGTTCGAACATTCCAGTCAATTTGAGGTAACGCATTACGATGAAAATTGATCGATAATAGTTTTATAAACGATTGTTTTGCATTAATTTACAGAGTGTCCTGTTTTCCATTGGAAGTGCCTTCTTATGTTACGTAAACCACTTTAAGCTCTACAGCTCATTCTGCGCTAGTCATTCGAAGGCCCAAAAAGTCTTACACCCGAGTATGTATATTACGTAACGTATAACTGTTAGGTCATGCATTCGCAATTATTTTGTCCGTTTATGATTGAAATGCCACGCAACTGTTCGTTATTCGCGCGACCATTTTTCACTTAACGTGACTTCACTTATCCACGTGACGCGTGATTGCGAGCGAATAGCATTTCATTCAATGAATCATTCGGGCAAACGTACAAAATCATTGATGCGAATCGAGCATCGCTTGGCTCGGCCTGCATTCGTGATTTAATTACGTCAATTATCTCTGAAATCTGCGCGCAGACGAAGGAAATCAAGCGTTGCAAGAGTTCCTACAAGCGCGAAATCCAAGACAGCAGCATTCATCGACTCTGGAGTCGTACTTGATTAAACCTATTCAGAGAATATTGAAGTATCCGCTGCTGCTACAGCAATTGCGAAACCTCACCGACGAGCGCAGCGCCGAACATAAGCATTTAGTCGGTAAGTACGACAAATAATTCGTTCGATCGATTTCAAAGGTCGCTTTAAAATAAGTCACTTAGAATAACGCATTATGAACGCGACGGTGCGAGCGCCCTCAAGTGATGCCAGTACGTCACTGTCAGCGTGAGCTAGGTTGGCCGAGCGGTCTAAGGCGCCAGATTTAAGCTCTGGTTCCCGTCTGGGAGCGTGGGTTCGAACCCCACACCTAGCAAACTTTTTTTTTCTCCCCCCCTCCCCCGACTCTACTTCACGACGCGTTTCTATGTACCGTTGTGACGTGCGCTCTCGAATTATTTTTTCAACGTATTTATTTTTTTCCCCGTTGTTGCTAAACAGAGGCGCTCAAAGGTATGGAGAAAGTCGCCGAGCACATTAACGAGATGCAAAGAATTCACGAGGAATACGGAGCAATATTCGATCATCTATTCCGACAGCATCAAAAATCTTGTAAACAGGTGAACAATTGCATTAGTTTATAATAAATGACTTTGTGAAATATTTTTTTTGAGCAAACTTTGATCGCTAATATACATACTTGTGAATTGTGATTTGTTAATGTACTTTAGCCGATCGACTTGAGCCCAGGTGATCTACTTTATTACGGAGGTGTCGAGTGGCTGAATATCTCCGATTTCTTAGGAAAGATCAAGAAGGGCTTGGAATTACACGCAATGTGCTTCGTCTTCAAATCGGCTGTCGTGTTCCTTTGCAAGGAAAAGCTACGCCAGAAGAAGAAACTTATGGTGAGTGTCCTTTATCTGAAATTGTTATATATGCAACGATATCTGGATTGATGACTTATTCAACGCGGGCTATCGATACGAAAGATTTCATTTGTCGATAAGAGTTTCACGAGTTTTGAGTTATACCAGGGCTTCTGAAACGACCTTCTTTACTCTGCAACTGTCCTGATTAGATAATTATTTGTTATCGCGCGATAAAAAGACTAGAGCTTCATAGGATCGTTAAAGCAAAAGAAATCTCTGATTGCATTGCCGAATCGATTCTGTCAGCGTCAGAATGGGGCAGTAAATGACGATCATTCGTTAATTGCAGGGCGGCTCGTCGAAAGCAAATCTGCAAAAGGGCATGACGGGCGACGTGGAAATAATCCGCTATCAAGTGCTGATCCCGGTGACCGAGGTACAGGTACGCTCGAGCTCGGCCAAAGACATGGAATCTCACTTCCTCTGGGAGCTCATCCATCTGCGCAGCCAATTGCAACGTCGCTCCGAGAAAGTCTACGTGCTGTCGAACAGCACCAACGAGTTCCGCAACTCATTCCTCAAGACTATCCGGCAGATTATCCGCGAGTCCGTGCGCAACATGAGCATCCCATCCACGAGGTGTGTAAAGTTCAATTACCACCGCTCGACGGAGATTAGGCTAGTCCGTCGAGACTTTAGCAATTTCATTGATTGCGACTTTGATAAAGTGACGCGTGCGCGTAGGTGCCTACTTTATCGACGCTATCGCTCAGTCTTAATCGCGCGTATTTGTTCGGCATTGCAGCGTGGCTTTTCCTTTTTTCTTTCACCGTTAGCGTTCAATTTCAGATTGCACGAACGAATCATTGCTTGTAATCCTTAAAAGTCGGCTGAACCGATGACGAGATCGCTTTTGAACGGCCACTATCTCACGAGTAATTCTAACGGTCAACGCTTATTTCTTGCAAGCCTTCGCACGTCGTGTAGAACGCAGGCGCTGGGTCACGGGGCAATGACGATTTCGCCGCGCATGATCACGAGCGACAGGTCGCAAAACGGAGGACCGGTGCCGGCGCTGACGCCGATCCCGCCGAATTTGCCGACCGGCACGTTGTCGAAGAAAGCGATGAAGGGCCACGGCGCGACCAGTCTGCGACGCAAGTATTCGCACTCGAAGCAACCCGTCGATCGCGACAGTTCCGAGGACAAAGACGTCGAGGAGCAGCAGCACCACCATCAGTATGGACAACAGACGTTCCGCACCAGGAGCAAAACCATCAGCGACAGCACAGGTGAGTTTTCGCGAGTCTTGTGCAGGCGCGCCGCTTGTGAGACACTGTATGTTGTCGAAAAAATGTGTACTTCTTCTTATGTTCACGTCTTCCAAATTGATGTGTTTTTTGTCTTCCTCTCTTGTACCACAATTGAAAACCAAAGAGAACGATAGAATCGCGATTGCAATCTATGATCGGTAATAAAGCGATTGTTATCATGCGCAACACCGTGTGTCTCTGTGTTAATACCATATTTGATTGATGTGTTTGGTTTGCATTTGTTTGTCTCTCTTTTTTTTTATTCGTAAAAGAAGAAGAAACCAAAAAAATGTTTTGTAGGGGAGGTAAAGGTCGAAATGGACTCCGGCACAAAGTCCGAGGGCGAGGAGGACTCGCAAGCGTACACGGGCGAGAAAAAGACGAATCTGGGTCGCACGCCTAATCACTTAACCTTGAGCACTACCTCAACGATTTCCGCCGGCAGTACCGGAAGTCAAGCGAAACTCATACAATCCTCACATCACCCAGAGCATTATCAGCCACCTGCTGTTAAAGAGCTTGGTATGTGTCCAATCTTGAAACCGACCAGCCAAACACCTCCGTCATCGTGACATCATCGTGACTAACAGACATTCGTTTTGTTCTTTTTCATTTTTTTTCTTCGCGTCACCCTTCTAACGACCTATCTCTATCCCTCTTCACTCGGCAAGACCAAGTTATGATGTTTAGTCACTTTAGTAGTGTACATAGACGACGCACTCGGGTGATCGAGAGCTTCGATAGCAAGCTCGTGTATAGCTAACTCTTTTCTTATCACCCACTTACCGTACGTTCCCCTATCGCTAGTACACGACGGACAAAAAAAATTCTATCCAAATCGTCCGTGACAATCTCAGATTTTTTCCGAGTCTCTTTTACTTTGCTCGCGATGTGTATCGCGTGAAAACGTTACGTATTAAATTTGGTCATTAATTGGGAATTCAATGGCTTTCCAATGTTTACATGCTTCACATATACATACAATCACATATTTTTCTCCACAACATGAGTGTTACATGAAACTGAAAGAAGTAGTTAGGACACCTTAGAAGCACTTTTTAAAATTTTTCTTCTGAAAATCACATTGCAATCTCGGACGGACGCACGACTGAGCAAAAAAAAATGGTTGTTTCGAACAGGTTCACCAGTGTGGAAGCCACGAGAATTGCCGTCGCTGGGCGAAGCGACGACGCTGCCGCGCAAGGGCAAGGCATCGACCGGCGAGTTCGCGAACATGAGCTCGAAGCACAGCACGTCGCGCAAATCTCTCGCCGAGATCAACGCCCACAACAATCACGTCTAAGATTTGGACTCGCCGCTGAGCACGGGATTTCACATATGCAGGGCCTGCTACTGCTGCGAGCAGCAGCCGTACGCATGCGGCACCAATTAACCACTTAACTCGCGACCGATCAAGGCCGTTCACCGGGCTCTCGTCGTTGAAGCATGCCGGTTGCTGTCCGTGCTAAATGGACGCCGATCGACGGCTCCTCGCGCTGCGAACTCGGCATTTCGAACTGATCTACAATTATAGAATAATCGATGAGAGGAAACAAGGTAATTTTCGGAAACAACGACGACGACAACTATGTGTACAAATGTCACGACAATGGCAATACACCTGGAAATGATGGGTTCGCCCCGAGGATTCGACGATGACTTGCTCGATGGGGGGCGTTGCCAATGTTTTCGCTGTCTCTTTTTATTGGCGAAAGCACGAAATAACGCGACAAGTCACTCTTGTCCTCGCCCGATAGACGACGACAAAAGCTTGATTTTGTGACCTCGTTCATTTTTCTCCGTCTTTTTCCTGCGTTAGATCATGCACACGGCTACACTCTTACGTTGATCTTTCATAACAATTTTTTGTACCTTTTGTATAAGAACACTTCCATCGGTATAACAAAGGCAGTGCCAATTGAAGCTCGCAAGGGACTGAAAAAATAAATGGTTTTTTATCAGCGCGCGTCGACCCTACATGTCCTTCCCTTCAATTTTTCTGAAAATAAACACGACGCGCTTATTTCATCATCTTCCTCGAATCCTGAATATGCACGTTGGAATCTCAAGCGTGACGATATACAATCTTTACGGTGGTACCACAAGTCTCTTCGTCGGTCATTTTAAGGATTTTTATACAGGGTGTATTATTATGAAAAAGACGGAAGAGATTTTCGCGCGCTCTAAACACGCTTCAAAGTATACGAGTTTGCTTCGACTTTACTTTTTTTTCCTTGTTCGTACACGCGCTCGCGCGCGTGCGTCGATTGTTCATTCGAGTGTCGATGAAATTTAAGGAATTGGAAGAATTTTTGATGAAATTTTACGGATTTTCTCAGGTATTTTCTCAGCTCGCGCGCGTCAAATCGATTTCAGAGCCAATGCAACACGAAAATATCGTCTTTGAACAGGAATACGGCGAACGAATTACTAAAAGCAATAACTCTACCACCTAACGATAAAAGAATGCTCGTAAGAATCGGAGTTGATTAATGAATTCTTATATTATCACGAATGACAAGCAAAAATAATGAATCAAAGCTGTATCCAAAAGAAAAAAAATATCACAGTTGTGAGATATCTTATACCAGCATACATTAATTAGCGTATTTACCGAAGCGCACTCGTATAGATAAAAAAAGGCAACATCGAACGCCACATGTTTATCCGCAAAACTACGTTTATACCTTTTACCGTAATAAGAAAAAAAAATGACTTTGACACTTAGTCACCCAAGTATATCATTGTATTTTTCCGGTATCTTAAAGGGAAATCTCGACTAGTTATGGTAAGCACGACATTATAGAAAGGAAATTCCGACGGCCACAGTATGTGAGAGCCCCTTTAGCGCAGGCAGCAACACACATTTACTCACATAAAAGCAAAAATGAAGAAATAATCAATTCTGTAAATAATGTAATAACAGTAATGAATTTCAATGCACTTGAAAACTTGGAAGTGGTTGAATGCGGAGTCTAGCATTCACACGCGCGCACGCACGCACACACACACACACACGCACACGCGTGCGCACGTACACACACACACACACACACACACGCACATACACGCAGGCACACATACACGCAAAGGAGTTAAACGACGACGAGTAAGAAACGAGTAAGATATTATATTCTATATTACAAAGATAAGTACGTAATGTTAGCGATTAAAATCAATTAAAAGAAACCAAACAAATGCCCTTTCGTGCGCGCTTACTGCTCGTTGTTAAGTAACGTTGCGCGCGCGCGAGAGCAGTCCGAAGAGAGCGCACTCGGACGCCGTGGAAACTGAGGCAGCCGCGCGAAGGTATTCTCCAAGCGCCGTAACACGCGCGATTCGGCGCCGCGAGCCCTCGTCGCGAGAACGATCGGACCGACCGAGCGCCAGTGCTCGAGATCGAGAGGCCGATAAAGAGTGACAGGGGAGAAAACAAACGAAACAAACAAATAAATGAACGCACGGAATTTTATTTTTAACATTGCTTATTGCGTAACAACGATCCGAGACACTTGCCCTCGCGTCCGGGTCAGATGACGAGTGATCGCGATCGATGCGCGCGCGCGCGCGCCGGGCGCAATGAAACGATGCCGCGCACTGCGCAAAACTTGAATCTAGTCAAATGCGAATGAATGTAGTTATGTGTGCGCGCGCGCATGAAAGACCGGAGTGAATGGATTATAAAGAATCGCGTAACGGCGAGCCAAATATAGAAACAAAGTCTACTAATGCGCTGCGGAGAGGCTGATATTATACATATAAAAAATAATTCGATATTATTATGCTGAAAAAAATACATTGTTAATGGATAATTAATCGTTATGGGGAAAACAAAATAACGACGATAAGACAAGGAGTTATAAAAGAAAATTTGTGTACATTAGACGAGAGAAAGTATCCAAATAGATTGATGATTATCTACAACCAAAAATATATTATATATAATTATACATATATAAATATAAATAATTAAAAGAAAACAAAATATATATATACATACTTAAAGTAACGTTGTTATAATTAGCGTTTTACGTACGGCATTCTATAAAGTCACACGATAACAAATCTATATCGAATTGATCGCATCGAGTTTGCTTGAAATATAAAACACGCGCAATTTTTGAATATCAAATGACTTGTTTCAATTTATTATTTTTCAACTTTTAACGTGAGAAGGGTTTGTCGAATAGTTGGTTCATTTTATTTTTATATAATTGGACGTAGAATATCGTAAGTAGATCAATATTGCTGTGTGGCATCGTCTGTTACGTCAGTTATCTCAATAATGAAAGTATTGAAATAACTGACGTTTGTTTGCTGGTAGATTTTTTATGTTGTATATAAAGTAACGATGTAAATGGATAAAATATTTTCAGTAAAATTAAAAATTATACTTCTAAATAGCTTTACTTAGAAACAAACTTGAAGTATATATAATATTATATAGTCGTTTAGTATAGCTGTTATATGTACGTTACTATGTTGAAGTTTTCGTGGCATTAAAAAAAGATTGATTCCGATTCGACAGAACGTTTGTCTCACGAATAATTTGGTAACAAACATGAATTTGTCACGACAATCACGAATGAATTTTGGTCGGAAGTAGTAAGAGATGTAGAATGCGAAAGACGTAGTTTGAAAAAAAAATCAATAAAATGAAAGGTTGAATACCGTCGTCGATCATTTTTACGAGCTACTCGAGCTTTATTTTCAAGCAGTCGATGCGATGAAAACCGTCATAAACAACAATTCCATGTCCAAACGAACTGAACGAAAAAAAAAAAAAATTGCAAAATGATGAAAAATCAACCTTAAATGCCGTGCGTAATGAGAAAAAATGCAGGAAACAAATTAGCGAGTCTTGTGAGGTTTGTAGAAGTACAGCGAGCATCGAAAGACACAAAAAAGTGGGAAAAAAGTTATATAAGGATACATCACTCTAAGCAACCTTGAAAAAAGATCTTAATTGACGCAGTATTATTAATGATTACCAATTAATATTTAAGATATATAGAACAAAAAGGACCTGCTTCTTTGAGTAACGTTCAGTAGCGTATGTGTTGAAAAAAATGCTCAGGTGAAAACATGTCATAAGGGCATAGACGAAGCAGCTATAATGACAAAAAATTTACTATCTTATTATTGTAAAAATACAATAGTTATAGGTGAACGAACCGTTATACGAGTGTCTATTTAAACATACTTTTATCATCGTTGCATCAATTAAGAAATAGTTTATATCAAGTAAAATACAATACATAAATAGTACAGATTTTGTCATGAACGCTGCGTCATCGCTCTATGACACCGCAACGAAATATTATGCACACACTATAACGAAACACCGAATATATTTCTCAATTATATTTCACTCTTGTATCTTCCTTTCATCACCGATACTATACGTTGCATAATTATAATTTTGAAGAGAAGAAAAAAATGTTTAATTAAAGATGTGTTATATATTGAAAAATTTTAATCGATACTATTTTATCTTGAGAATAAAGTGAATATTAATAAAGTATTATTCGATATTTTAAGCTAAAAAGATATGAAGAAAAATTTATTGTGTACTCTCAGAAAACAAATAATAATAATTAAAATTTATTATAAAAAGCTGCCGTATTACCAAAGAGAGAGATATCTATCGATATGTCTATAATGGCTGAGTGATAATGCATACAGAGTTATATTTATTTTATTGAATAACATACACTATCAATTAAATTATATTGAACAGATATGGTAACAAACTTCTTGGAGCTGTGCTAAAAGAAATGAAAAATAATCCTTACGTTGAAACATAAATAATATGATACGAGTGTTCTGATTTCGATGTAATAACAGGACAAAACTGGCTCGAGCTCGCGGGTGCTTTTCAAATGTTAACAAGCTCCACGCGCGTCAGGAATCGACTATTAATTCACGTCGCGAGAGAGAACTCTAAAAATACTTAAACGAAAAAAAAAAAATGATAAAAATATAATAAAATAAAAAATAAAATAAACGCTCCACTTTTCGAAAGCCTGTCAAATGTACTCGCACGAATAAAGCGCGCATCGTTCGTCGTCGAACGATAAATGGAACGGAGAACGAAGGAAGAGGCACGTAACGGCAGCTTGACAGGATTCGAGCGGGGATTACGTGTAACGTATGCGTGCGCATGAAAGAGGCAACAGTTACGAGTGTAAGGTTCGTTAGTGGTTATTATTAACAAAGTGAAGCGATTTACGTAAGGAAATTTAAACAAAATAAATAAAATAAATTCTTAACTAGATGTGACAAGTACGCGAGAGAGATCGGAGTGAAAGCGTGATGCGAAGTGGTCTTGGTGTTAAAAACAAGCAAGTATACTTAAATACCTAATTAAAGTCATCCGGTTATCACTTGACAGCGAAACGTTAGCATTCACACACTCACCTATTATCTTAAACGAGGTATCAAAGGGTAGAGGGAGGGGGGATCGATAAACAATGCAAGTAACTTATAAATGAAATTGAAAGACCTTACGTTGCTCGAACTTACTTATTGCATTTGTCTGTCTGTATAAATTTTATTGCATAAATTCTGTGCAGTGTCTACGAACCTTGGAACTTGCGACAACTCTTTGGCCCTTGTGCACCTTACAAATAGCTCTGCGATGCTCGCTTCCAATGAATTATCCAAATGAACAAGGACGAGGAAGCCTCGCGAGTACCAAAGGTAACGGAGCACCAGCAAAATAGTTGGCCTAGTAAACTGAAGTTTCATGTTTTCCTTGCCCACCCAAAGTTGTATAAGCGATTTATTAAATTATATCGACGTCGAATTATGGACATTCTTCGATAGAAAACAAAGCAAAAGTTTTATTGAATAACGACGATAAGTAATATTAAATAAAAAATAATAATAATAATAATAAAACCAAAGTCTTTATCGCTAACCGTTGAGAGAAAGCAAGAGAATTAAGCGTTACGTTAAGTGACGCGAGAGATAAGAAGCGAGCGAGTAAAGACGATAGCAAGACAATGGGGTGAATATAAACGTAAATAAATAGCTAACAAAGAAAGAGTGAGCGGAGAGAGCTGTGGACGATTCTACTGCGTCGGATAAATAAATTGTTTAATCGTTCAGTTATTTGTAATGCGCGTGCGCTCACACAATTGCGAGAGAACAAGTGAATAGGACTTTATAATAAATTGGCCTGCATTAATGCGAATGGGGGAAAAAATAACAAACAAATGAAAAAAAAAACCAAAAAAAAAAAGAAAAACAATGCAAATTGGCGAAGACAGGGTTACCGGGATGAAGATACGTAAATTGCGCGAAAATAGTGGACGATGTGCAATTTCCGATATGCGGCGAGCGTAACGAGTCTTTCTGATATAGAGTCTCTTCCTTTCTTGATTTTTCCATTTCGTGAAAAAGCTCTTTCAGTGTGAGTAAGGGGAATAATGAGGTTTTGCGGATATCGGCAAAAACCGAAATGAATCCTATATAATATAATTCACGATTATAAATAAATATTATATACATACATGAGGAGAAAAAACAAACGAGCAGAGAAGCGAATGTAATTTTTTGCGTTTTTTCATTACGTATTATAAAAAGAAAGAATAAAATGAATCTCAGTAGTCTAAACTCTACCGAGTCTGTCTTAATAATTATTGATTAATTATTGTAAACGATCATTAAGCTGTATTAATTGTTATCGCTCCTCGGTTAGATGGAGATGTCTGAGTGGGAGATCCATTTGTACAATCATTGCGTCATTAAAATATGATTATTAATTATTGCGATGTGACATTGTTTTATTTACCAATCCTTATATTATCCCTAATCGATTTTCTAAAATTAGATCAAATCGTAAAATAAACACAAATGTTCTGACATTTTTTCAAACTAAGATAATGAACGATAATCAATGTAATCATTAGAAATTGATTCAGAATTTTTTTTCCTACATTATGTACAGTCTTTATTTTTATTATCTTTTCATTTTTTTTTTCTTATCATCAAAACAATTTCAGAAGAAACCGAGCTTCGCAGTAATTTAATTTGATAATACCAATTCACGTTTGCATGCCTCGATACAGCGGAATGAAAAAAACACGTGTAATGCCAGTGTCAAGTATACAAAATTTCTCGAAATAGCGGTTATGGCCGAATGACTAATAAAATTATCAAATCTAAAAAAAAGTTATATCATATAATAAATCGACAGCTAACAAAACATATGTTCTGAAGTCAGAGCTACGAAGATTATATAAAAAGATAAAAGGGCCTCGTAAAAAATGCGACAACTTTCACACCTGCCCGATAAAACTCACACAGTTAGTCGATATCAATATCTCAAGCCTCATATTATTGACCGCATCATTCATTCAGTCAGCTGTCGTGTAGTAGTCAAGTCGTAAGGTTTACTTTCGTAAAATGTGATATTTTATCACATTTTATTTTATGATTTAAAAATTATTTTTAATTTGCATTTCTAGAATAGTAAAGTTATTTGATTTAGTATTAATTATTTATATCGATAACAGTTTCAACTATACAAATAGTGGCTGAGGTGGAGGCCATTGAAAGGCGTTTACAAAAAAAACTTGGATTAAAAGCAAGTGACTCGAAATGAAGTGTATATTAGCATTAATTCTGTTGCTTTTAACAAGTTTTCTGAAAGTAGACTGCAAAAATGACAAATATCATTGTACGTGGTATAAAGAGTGTAAAGTAAGCGATAACTCTAATAGTTTACGAAACTGTCTATCTGGACAGCCAGCACAACCAATCAACAATGTCACAGCTGAATATATTTTTAAACAGCGATGTCCACATTTTTTCAATAATACAGGTATAACGTTAACCAATTTGAAAGAGTTTTGTGTTATGCTCACGGTTAATCTCATTTCGAGAGGCGTTGATTTTAGATATTTGGAATGATGCATTGGAAGATTAAAATATATTTCTAATAAGTAGTACTACGATATATGTAAATTTCAACCACAATTCTATTTTCACAAAATCAAATGCCGTTTCATTTGTTTCGTTTATTAAAGATATTACGATGATGCTTTATCAAGCATGATAATATGCTTAATAAATATGCAAGTAGAATAATAGCATATAATTAATTTTATTTAATATGCAGACGAAATACTAACTTGCTGTGATGCTGCACAAATTATTACAATGGATATAAATATGGGACGAGCAGAAGCGATATTTGGTAGGTGTGCTTCCTGCATGAAAAATCTATTCCGTTCCATATGCGATTTTACGTGTCAGCCGGATCAAAGCCGATTTATGAACGCTATGGAAATTCTTAAAAATGACAAAGGCGAGACTTATATCGAATCCGTAGAGGTCAGTCTATGATAAGCATCTGATGCAGTAGAATTGTTTTTAGATTGACTCAATCTTGTACTTTCAAAGATCTTGTTGTCCGAAGAATATGCAAACCAAACTTTTGATTCGTGTAAGAACGTCCAAAATCCAACAAGCAATCAATTAGCACTTGATTTGGCTTGTGGTGGTGCTAAAAGCTGTACTCCAAGACGGTAAATGAAATGGAAAATGTCTTCAGTAATGCTTCAACAAAAATCGAATAACGAATTGACGATGTTTTAGTTGGTTCGAATTTATGGGATCACCCAGCAAATCTGCTGGTATGGTACCTTTCGTAGTGAAGTATGCATTTAGCCAAAACGAATTGAAAACCAAAAATTTAAGTGATCCATTGAATCCTCCAACGAAAAAATGCAGCGATCCATATGACGTGAGTGTTCAACCAAAATCATAAATTGAATTAGTTGAAATTATTTGAAATTCGCTCTCGATTGTGATTTTTGTAGAACTCTTCACTCTCTTGTAGTTGTGCAGATTGTACTTCGACTTGCAAAGACAATTACGTGCCGATGGATGCCAGTGAATTTGAAATTTTTGGTTGGAACGCTTATGGGGTGATAGCAGGTGTCACCGTTCTCGGCCTCAGTACTCTCTTCACAGTAGGATTTCTAATGTTCAGCCGAAAGTCTACTGCGACTGGTGAGGCTTTTTGAGATTTTCATTTCTTTGCAAATCACTGGAATAGCGTACCAATTTTCAGCCGACCGCCTAGAATTCCCGACATTGGACAGCGGCACGTTGCTTGAAAAATTGGATCAGCCTACGACTTACGGCGATAGATTTCGACAAATTTTAGAATTGACATTCGAATCGATTGGCTATTTTTTCGCTAAACATCCCGTCAGCTCGATAGCCATAATCGTAAACATTGTTTTCATATGCGCCTTCGGAGTGTCATATCTAACCATTACTTCGAATCCTATCGAAATCTGGGCTGCGCCGAGTAGTCGTTGTCGAGTGGAAAAAGATTACTTCGATCAACACTTCCAACCATTTTATCGCACAGAACAGATCTTTATCAAATCTGTAGGTTTGGAATCGGTGAGTGGAATGACTTTGTTCACCTCTGTTATATCGTTAGATTATTATGATCAACTTTGTTGCGAGAAATAACCTATATAGGTATATAATTACGACATTGACGATGACGAGTGTTATTTTGACGACTTTTGTCGCTTATTTGATTGAGGCAACTGTTGCAGGATAACTTGGCAATAATAGAACTCATTCATTTTCACATTGCATAATTAATCCTTTATAGTTTTCCTACAATATTACAAGTCAAGATGGAAATACTATCGACAAAGTAAATTTCGGACCCGTTTTCCAAAAAAAATTTCTACGTGCTGTTCATGCTTTACAAGAAAAAATACTAGAGGTAAGCATGGTACTTCATTCATGCGCGATTGCCGGTAAGAAACCGTGCAATTGATTACAGATCGGTCAAGACGAGAGGGAAGGTTTGGAAAAGATCTGCTATGCGCCAGTGAAAAATGACTTTTCTGGCCCAATGACATTATCGTACTGCACAGTGCAAAGTGTGTGGGGATATTTACAGAATGACATTGAGGTGTTAGAGGCGAATTATTTGCAAGAACTATACGAATGCATATCGTGAGTATTTTGTGGTAATTTGATATATGCGAATGTTAAAGAGGGATTTTATTTATTTGGTCAGGAATCCCTATCAAATTAATTGCCTCGCGCCATATAAGGGACCGATAATACCTGCAATCGCATTGGGCGGATTTCTCGAAGACGACAAAGAAAGTTACGGAGCGGATGATTACGTTACGTCGAATGCACTGGCGCTGACGTTTCTAGTGAACAATCCGAAAGACAAAGACAAATTAGATCTGTCGATGAAATGGGAACAACGGTTTTTATTTCAATTTTCTTTCAATTCAGCCAAACTGGTCGACGGCCATTTGAAAACTGTCAATTCTTCAGATTCATAGATTTCATGAAAAAGTGGGACAAAGAGGAGCGTCCTGAATTTATGGAAGTTGCCTTTTCAACCGAGAGATCTGTCGAGGATGAGCTTGAAAAGACGTCGAAAGCTGAAGGCGTGACAACGGCAATCAGCTACACAGTGATGTTTGTTTACATTGCGTTGGCGTTAGGACAATTTCGATTGTCGCTTGACTGCTTCGTAAGTTTCGATCAGCGCCATTCCACATCAACACGGAAAAGTTCAACTTCGTGTATGACTGTTCATTTCAGATCACCAGTAGGATCGTGTTGAGCATCGGTGGAATATTCACAGTTATGTCATCGGTAGTTTCTGCTATTGGAATATTCGGATACATGGGTGTGCCCACGTCACTTCTTACAATCGAAGTGAGTAAGAGTATAGTGAGAAGCTGCGACTTACCGACTTTCTTCTTTGGCACTTACGATGAGACTTTCAAATGACAATTGATATCTTCAGGTCATTCCGTTCCTCGTGCTAGCCGTAGGAGTAGACAATATATTCATTCTGGTCAGAGCGCACGAAAAGTACCCAAGGAAAAGCACGGAGTCGATAGCAGGGCACATAGCTCGCACCGTCGCCATGGTCGGGCCGTCGATGCTGCTGACGAGCGCGTCGGAATGCTTGTGCTTCGCGATCGGTATTGCAATTTTGAATGGTCGGAAAAATTCTTATTGAATTATTATTATTGCTGAATTATTATTGAAAATAGGCTCGATGTCTAACATGCCGGCCGTAAATACGTTTGCGAAATTCGCTGCTCTCTCGATATTATTCAACTTCCTCCTGCAGATAACCGCTTTCGTTAGCATAATGTCCTTAGACAGCATGCGCCAGGAAGTGAGTAATTTTACCGAGCGTCGATCGCCTGAGAAGATGGGAAATTGATTTGTTTAAAATGACGCGTTTCAGGCAAACCGCCTGGATTGCTGCTGCTGTATATCTTTGAATAGGCACTCGACGAGAGCGCACGATCGAGGTCTAGTCAATAGGTTTTTCGAAAGAATATACACCCCATTTATCATGAACAAAGTGGTGCGTGTTGTGGTCTTTCTTATCTTCATCGTCGCATTGGCGTCGAGTGCTGTTCTCGTTCCCGCCACTGAAATCGGCCTTGACCAACAACTCTCAATGCCAGATGATTCTTACGTTTATAAATATTTCGAGGTAATGCCTTCTCGTAACTCGTTCGCAATGTTCGATTGCGAGCCCAAATTGATCGTCTAATGCCTAATCTTGATATCTTCAGTTCATGCAAGAGGTTTTGTCGATGGGACCACCGGTATATTTCGTCGTTAAGCAAGGATTGAATTACAGCGACGTTAGAGTGCAAAATGCAGTAAGTGGAGCTTCTGGTTCTAACGACGATTCCATTTACATGCAATTATTTTCAGCTGCGAATCGATCGAAAGAGTGAGTAGCGAGGACCATAGATTGCTTGGCATAAAATCGAACAAGATGTCCCTTTCACGAAATTGTTTCAGAACATACATAGCGCAAGCTGCGTCTTCGTGGATTGACGATTATTACGACTGGACTACTATCAAGGGCTGTTGCAAATATTTCAAGATTAACGATTCCTTTTGCCCGCACGACTATTCAAGTAATATCTTTTGGCAATTTATTTTATTTTGAAATAAGGAAACAGTTGCGTAAAATTTTTTTCCTGCATTACAGGCGACCTGTGTAACGATTGTGATATTGCGCGTCATCAATACTATAATTTAAGACCTAATACAACCAGTTTCCGTAAATACATTCCTCATTTTTTGACTGACGTGCCTGATCAATTTTGTGCCAAAGGCGGTAGAGCAGCTTATCATGACGTAAATTCTTACTAATAATAATTATTAACATATTCAATTGATTATAAAGTCTGGTATAATTGTTAAACAAGTTATTGAACCAATTCTTACTATAAAAAATTGACCATTCACCATGTATCACCCAAAATTTCATCACCTGTTACACTTTCAGGGTGTAAATTATTATTATGATAATTATGGACTCACAAATGTTGGTGACACATATTTTATGTCTTATCACACGCCATTAAAAAAAGCATCTGATTGGTACGAAGCATTACGCAGTGCAAGATCAATCGCAGAGAGTATCACGAATATGATTAATAATGCTAATTTAACCAGTACTAAAATCACGGTATTCCCATACAGGTATGTTCAATGTTTCACTTGATTTATTTATTTTGAGAAATCTTACAATTATAAACAATATGTGTACTAAAAAATAATGGCTTTTTGCAGTGTATTTTATGTATTCTATGAACAATATCTTGATATAAAGTTCATGACATCCATTTCATTATCTCTATCCTTAATATCTATATTTATTGCAACATTCATCTTTATTGGATTTTCACTGTTTTCTGCAATTATTGTATTGCTAACAGTTGGAATGATTGTTATAAACTTGGCAGGGTCAATGTACTGGTTAAATATTTCTTTAAATGGAGTTTCTCTAGTCAATCTAGTCATGGTGAAAATTAGAAATACTTTTACAATTAAAATATCAATTGTTTTTTATAAACAAATATTAAATGTACTACTATTGATTAAAGGCTGTCGGAATTTCCGTCGAATTTTGCAGTCACATGGTTCATGCTTACATAATATCAAATAAAAAGACCAGAGAAGAAAAAACAACAGAAGCTTTATCTCGTGTAGGAAGTTCTGTAAGTTCGTTTGATATATGGTTTAAGTGATCATAATTCATTTATCTCTGTATTCTAAGTTAGTGAAAATTATTTAATCAATTTTCTTTTCTAGGTATTCTCTGGCATAACACTCACTAAATTTGTTGGAATTGCAGTACTTGGTTTTGCTAAAACTAAAATATTCACTGTCTTTTACTTTCGAATGTACTTAGGTATAGTTATATTTGGAGCAGCTCATGGACTTATATTTTTACCTGTTTTGTTGAGTTACATAGGTGAGCATTGATTGAAAAAATTAAAATGTATAAAATTATTATGATTCGCAAAAACATTGATATTTAAATAATATTTCAGGTCCCTTGTGAACAGTCAAACTTGAATTAATATTAATTTTTATTTTAATAATTTTTATGAATAAGTTATTTATAGTTTTTAAATGTGGGATTTCGTAATAAAAATGAAAGAAATATGTTGATTAAGTCATTTATTATTCCTGAAATTGAAGTTTACATTTATGAAAAAGCTTTAGTAAGTAAACAAAAAATTAGAAAGTTACTTAAAAGTTTGTAAAAAGAAAATACTGTTCTTATTGCAAATCAGTCTAAAATAACACCAGCATTCATAAAAAAATTCATTTTAATTATTCAATGCTATATTAATGTACTACTGGTGATAGACATGTGAATTTAAGCTATGCCACCACGCAAACGCAGAACCAGATGAAGGGTTGACTCCTTTTGAATATTGTAATCCGATAAAGTTCTGCCATCTTCTAGTTGCTTTCCAGCAAAAATGAGACGCTGTTGATCTGGTGGGATACCCTCTTTGTCTTGAATTTTAGCCTTTACATTCTCGATCGTATCAGATGCCTCAACTTCCAAAGTAATAGTTTTGCCAGTTAATGTCTTAACGAAAATTTGCATTCCTCCTCGAAGACGAAGGACCAAATGCAAGGTTGACTCTTTTTGAATATTGTAATCAGAAAGAGTACGTCCGTCTTCTAATTGTTTTCCGGCAAAAATGAGACGTTGTTGATCTGGAGGGATACCTTCCTTATCCTGGATTTTGGCTTTCACGTTTTCGATAGTATCGGAAGCCTCAACCTCTAAGGTGATAGTCTTACCGGTCAAAGTTTTGACGAAAATTTGCATTCCACCTCGGAGACGAAGAACCAGATGAAGGGTTGACTCTTTTTGAATATTGTAATCTGAAAGAGTTCTGCCGTCTTCCAATTGTTTTCCAGCAAAAATGAGACGCTGTTGGTCTGGTGGGATACCCTCTTTGTCTTGGATTTTGGCTTTTACGTTCTCAATGGTATCAGATGTCTCAACTTCCAAAGTAATAGTTTTACCAGTTAATGTCTTAACAAAAATTTGCATTCCTCCTCGAAGACGAAGGACCAAATGCAAGGTTGACTCTTTTTGAATATTGTAATCAGAAAGAGTACGTCCATCTTCAAGTTGTTTCCCGGCAAAAATGAGACGTTGTTGGTCTGGAGGGATACCTTCCTTATCTTGAATTTTGGCTTTGACGTTTTCAATTGTGTCAGAAGCCTCAACCTCCAAAGTGATGGTTTTACCAGTCAGTGTTTTAACAAAAATTTGCATACCACCACGAAGACGGAGAACAAGATGAAGGGTAGACTCTTTCTGAATGTTGTAATCTGAAAGAGTTCTGCCGTCTTCCAATTGTTTTCCAGCAAAAATGAGACGCTGTTGGTCTGGTGGGATACCCTCTTTGTCTTGGATTTTGGCTTTGACGTTTTCGATAGTATCTGAAGCCTCAACCTCTAAGGTGATGGTTTTACCAGTCAGTGTTTTAACAAAAATTTGCATACCACCACGAAGACGGAGAACAAGATGAAGGGTAGACTCTTTCTGAATGTTGTAATCAGAGAGGGTTCTGCCATCTTCTAATTGCTTACCAGCAAATATAAGACGCTGCTGGTCTGGAGGGATACCTTCTTTGTCTTGAATTTTTGCCTTTACATTTTCAATGGTATCGGAAGCTTCAACCTCCAAGGTGATGGTTTTGCCAGTTAGTGTTTTGACAAAAATTTGCATACCACCACGAAGACGGAGAACAAGATGAAGGGTGGACTCTTTCTGGATGTTGTAGTCAGAGAGGGTTCTGCCATCTTCTAATTGTTTACCAGCAAAGATAAGACGCTGCTGGTCTGGAGGAATACCTTCTTTGTCTTGAATCTTGGCTTTTACATTTTCAATGGTATCAGAAGCCTCTACTTCAAGTGTAATGGTTTTGCCAGTAAGGGTTTTGACGAAGATCTGCATTTTTAACCTGAAATAAAAATTTACTTTAATTAGTTATATGTTAATTGTAACTTTGAAACAGAATTACAATATTTTATGAAATTTTTTAGGTATATAATCAATATTTGCATAATTGACTCAGAAATATTAACCTATTAAGATCTCAAAACTAAATGGGATAGTAGCAAACTAACTGCATCATTTTGTGCACAATCACTGAATTATTTACATTTTTATAAAAACAAAATGAACTCTAAAAGTAAATTGCTTTATAGCTGTTTTCTTTAATTGTTCCTGTAAAATCGATTGCTGAAACTAATCTTTCAAAATAATTATTTTAATGTAACTTGTTCAAATAATTTTTTATTTCCAATTGTGAATGATAAAAGCAAAAACAAGTATATTTTATTTCTCGATTATGCAAAGAATGGTGCGATTAATTTCCTGCTGTCTTACCCAATTATCGCTCGGGCTTTATGTGTTAATATTTAATACATTAAATCACGACAATATTTGAATATTGACAAAAACAGTTGTCTATCGATTTTCTGAATTTTTAAAATAACCTAATCAATTAAAATTTCCCAAATAAGAATTACAACAATTATTTTGGTCAATCTGTTAAATTTCTATTTTTCATGTGCAAAACACGGATAATAATTCATTTACCAAAAAGATTACAGTTCCATTTTTATTTAGACACGTATAACAATTCGTTGATTGCTCAAACGTTCTTGAGCCAACGACTCGTTTGCGGAGATAGCTGATGACCTGATTTACCGCCTGTGTCGCAAAATGATGAAAAAAAAATTACAGATTCACTCATATTTGTGCAGTTATATATTAATACATTTTAAATAAAGTTAGCTAATTGATAACATACGAGGTTACGAAGTTGTTTTAGCTGTACTGGAATGTAACTGCCAATTTCTTTGTTCTCTAACGTATAATAAACGTACTGTTCAGTGATTAATTTTGAGTCGTAAATAATAAAACTTCTTCGATTTAACTTTTAAGAAGTTTGAAGTTTGTTTCAAAAATGAAATGAAAACTAAAAATTTAACTGTAGATTAGGTTACCAAAAAGTGAAATATTGATGTTTTTTTGTTATTCTCTAGAACGACTCAAGGAAATCAAAATGGTAGACTGAGTTTCACTTCGGATGCACTCCTAATATTTCTTCATGCGAAACTAAAGAAATATATAACGAAGTTTTTGAAATAGAATTAGTTTGAAGTACTGAATATTGGGAAATTATCATACACGAGGTAAAGAGAAAAAGAAAATTATAATATTTAAGTCTGTCAATATGGAGGACGTAGCATGACTCAACGAGTTTATTGCGTCATAAATTGGATATTATTAGACGTTAACATTGGATGTTGTTTATATTAAAGATAGATATATAATTATTGTTGAATATTTACCTTCGTTAGACGAATAATCACCACTGAAGAAGGTGTAACAAAGTCTTTGTTGGTAGAAGTAAATGGAGAAAAGCAGCAGTCAGTAATGCGACTTACCCACTTGGTATCCCAACAACGAATGCCAGCGAAGCGAATGCGACTACCAGTACTCCAACGCTTAACGACTTGACGTTCACGTAGCAACGGATAAGAAACACAACCGGAAGTGGACGTTCAACATCAGCACATGCGCAATGGTTAACACGAAATAAGTTTGAAAAATTGAGAGACAATAAACTACATTAGGAAAAAGAAAATATCGCTTAACACAGTAAAAATATTTGTTTGCCGAGAAATTGATTATAAATGTAGGATTAATAATGTGTTCTTTTATAAAGTGCAAGTTTTACATTGATATAAATGATCATGGAATTACTGAAAATTTTAATAAAATAACGTAATTTTTTAGGACAATAAACAAAATAAAATGTTCTTTTGAGTATCAATAAAAACATATTTTATTGATTTTCATTTATAATTTTACCAATTTTCATAACGTTATAATTGATCGAGCCTGACAAATTACAATGTTAACATCATATACTTTTTGTAGATTCATGATCTATCAATCTACCAATAATATTTATGGCATCACAGATAATGGCTCGTATTTTCGAACATAATTTTATTTGTTTTGTTCACTCATAAAAGTATCAAACATAGTCTAAAACGGTAATCTTTATAATTTGGTGTTAACAATACTTTATACAAATAGTTTACGTGAAAGAACCACATGAACTGTTGCTATATACAAAATTGCAGAAAGCAATTAGTTTTTATAATTAAAAAGAATATTTCTACTTTTTGTGAAACAAAATATATCTACGTTGATTTGGTCTCAGAACGATTGTTTTGAAAGTTTATCGTGAGAATTATCCTACATTCTTTCGATATTTTTGATATTTTTATATTAATTTCCATAAAGTTTGGTGCTACATTGATACAATTAAGCTATAAGTCTGCAGTATTGATTAAAGATTTATCATGAATTAATGAGTATGTGAAGATATGATATAGTTCATTCAAGTCTTATTAAATTTTAGTTATAATAATTCTGATATATTATATTACTCAATATAAAAAATGGTATCGATTTTCATTGAATATAATTGCAATAATATTTCTATATTGATTTTATATTTCTTGGTGTTAATAATTGTACTATTTTCCTACAGATTTTCGTTCATGATACAATGAATTTTATTTTGAAAAACGTGAAACCAAATAGTAACTAAACATAATGCAAATCGTGCTGTAGAGAAAACTTATACATAATTTATAAACTTAAATAAGAAAATAAAGTTACTTTTCAATTTATGCCTTACATACTTTAAAATAAATTTCGAAGGAAGTTATTTTAACATTTCTTTTTTTTCAATACAATTATGTTGTAAGTTATCAAAACTCAATTTGGCCATCTTTCAATACTGTTATGCTTCAAAATAGCATTTCAATGATTATATAACTGACAAGATATTTGAACAGTCAAAGATTAAATATTGTCAAGTATTTGCATTAATAAACCAGTATTATAGCAAAATTTAATTTGTACTACATTTTTAAACAAATTATTACGTGAATCATTTACTTCAAATATGATATTTTTAACTATCAATACAAGAAGCATGCTCCGATTTCAAATTAATTACATAGTAGCTTTTTATGAGCGATACGCGTAAAATTTTATATATTTAAAGTTTTAACATTCTAAGTGCAAATAATTAAAAATCATTCGTATAACATTAATTTTGTTGTATTATTGTATCGTTTTTCCATTATCACAGATTGTTTTTGGTGGCAGGCCTATTTTCAAGCTCAGGCCGTATAGGCCCATATTAGACTAGTTATTTCCAGCGTACTCTGATACAACTCTCTCACTAAAATTATGTACCAACATCACGTTTCCAAAGTTGGAAATGTTCTCGTTAACACAAAATAAGCAACATCGCAATTAGTCCAATAAGCAGTATGAGCTGTTACACTATATAAATAATTACGACCTATTCCAACAGCTTGCAACACATAATCTAAACGTTGAGCCAATTCTGTTAACAAAAATTTAATAATTATTAGAGATGACATTAAATCTAAAAACTTTTGAAGGTTTATAATTTCTTAAATAACACCTTGCTCAGGCTGAATCGGTGGATTATCAGGAGTTGGTGACGTATCTTCTTTGGCATTCCATCCAGCTCTTACTAAGCCCCATAAGCTCCAACCTCTGTCTGCAGTTTTGCTTGGTGTATCTGTTGGGCTTAGATCATCTCTTTCGTCGTTATCTAAACCAATGAAACATATTAGAGAAAAAACTAATCTAGTTTATATGAGTCTATAGAAAATTATTGAATTCAAAATGGAATTTTTTTCTGTAAAAACTAAATATATAGCATACCTGACTGTGGATTGCTCTGATCACCATTGTTCATTGAAGAGGGTTGTTGTTGATCTAAATGGTTGTCAATACCCCCATGTGGTGGTATAAGAACTGGTTCTATCTTACTGTATCCTCTCTCTATCAATGGTTCCATGCGATATGCAACAGGATCTGACCAATGAAATATGTTGTAAAACCTCTTACACAAATATTCTGGCATTAAATCTAATCTGTTGGACGGCGTGCGTGTGCGTAAAGCTAGAAATACAGATAACGGAGAACCTAAACAGAATAAGTTCTCAATCTGTAAATGAGAAAAATGATTAGTTTTGAAATAACTACAATAAATAACACATAAGAACTAAATTTTATTGATTGATTTTAAATTAAAATGTTTATGTTTTTGTTGAATTGCAAAAGACTTACAGGAAATTGTAAACCTGTCAAACGCTGAGGTGAACCTGGAGGACGAGATTCATAACCAACCCATCCTGTGACAATATCATAAACTATAACACATCCAAGTGAATGTGCTAGTACTGATACTTTCCCTTGCCAACCTGGATGTCGACTTATGAACATAAAATATAACCTATTCAATTCTTTCTGGAGACCAGCTCTGACTTCTCCACCATATAAAGGACTAGTGTAATATAGGATATCCATTGCAGATGTATTGAGAAGATGTCGAATACTCAAGACACTGTATGGCGTTATTGCATCAACAATATCTAAAAAATAAAAAGTTAATAATGTTTGATGTTTACATGGATTATTTCGTGATATTAGGGACTTTATATCAGTAACTGAAAAATACCTCCATCGAGTTTTAATGATGACCTCCACTCAACAGGGAAAAATTCTACTCTGTGTTCAGAAGTTGGAAAATACTTTTGTTTCATTCTTTCAACACATTCTCTGAACCTGTAATTGAAAGTTCGATTATTATAAATAGAATATACTAAATTAATTCAATGAATTCTGTAGCAATTTTTACTTTGATAATCCTACATGATTTTTTCGTGTACAATATATAGGACTTTGCGTCAGGATATATTATTTAGTAAATATTACGTAAAATTCGCTTTGCGAAATCAATCATAAGTTTCGTTAAATGTGACTGAATCTGCGACCTTCAAAAACAAATCCGGCAAGTAATTGGCTGCTAGCCATTGAATTCTACAGCGATCTACTTTCAATGTGAATATGTAGAAATGAATGTCGTAAAAATAAAACGGTGACATTTAAAACTATATTCTTCTCAATCATAAACTTACATCGATGTATTCCGAATAATTTTTCCTGTATCTCTTTTCTGGCCAATTCCATGAACTACAAATACTAAATGATCAATATCATCAGGTTTATCTTCCATTGTGGCTAGCTCTTTATACCCTCTTACTAATCTATATCCAGTAGCTATAATATTTTAAATAATAGTAATTTTTTTTCGTATTATATATTATTTTGACAGCTTTAATTCTAAATTTATATTCAATAAGTTTAATGATGATCAAAGAATCAGATAAAAACTACATACTTTTAGTGAAACCAAACTTAGATGTGACACTACGCATCAATTTGGAAGGTGTGTATTCACTATGTAAAACCACATCATCTATTGCATGCCAATCAATGTGGTATTGAGTAAAATGTTCAGTATGAATCACTAAAATTGAAACAATATTAGTTATTCCATAAAATTAAATTAGAAATTAACGAATTATAATTTTAGTAGACATCATACCTTTATATGTATGTGTTGGAGTACCCAAATTTGGCGTAGAACTTGATTGTGTTAAAGTTTGTTTTTGAAATATCTTCAAATGTGCTTCTTCGAGTACTTCTGAATGATCCATTTCTAATGGTATCCAGCTTCCATCATAGAACCATATACCTCTCATTATTTCCCATTCTTCTCCTACAAAAAAATAGCATTAAAATCATCAATATAATTATATTAACACATCTTCATTTGATTCAATACTTTTATTAAAAATTTTCTATTAATTTTAAGTAAATGTTACTAATTTCAAAGTTGAATAATGTATGGATTCAGATATACTTGATCGTATGCAAAAAAATACCTAATTCTTTTTCAAAATTATTAATATTATTATGATTTCTATATAGTATGAAGAAATTATATATAAAATTATATTTAACAGAATTAAATGAGTAATAATGAATAATTCTATAGATAGATTATTTTATCATTAGGGAGACATTAAAAACAAATTTTTAATTATAACAGTCTCTATTTCAGATTGTTACTCAGTCAAACATTGCAAACGAAATTAAATTTAATGAACTCAAGGATAAACCAATTTTTTCACAGAAATTGTACAGAAGTAATACCATGAACCTTGTGACAGTAGAGACTTACATATCTTAGATCACCAGTTGGATCATACAATTATGGAACAAATATGATGAATATGTAAAATTGAGAAATTTATCATTTTATAATCAATTGATGATATATGATCTTTCATGAACCTCAATTTTACCATCTATTATTTATGCAACAAGCATTTGCTATACTTAACCAATACGTATTTGTGATCTGTTTTTGAAAGTTTGTAAAATTGGGTTTTGAAATTGCAATGAATTAATGAAACAAGTACCAGAATAGAATCCTGATGAAATATAAATGAAATTCATTCATATTAAAAAAGTTTTCTTGTAAGAAATATATAAAATAAAAAAGTATATTTATTAGAAATACTTTTCTCATTTGTCAAAATAGTGACAAAATAATTTTTACATATATTACCTGGCCAGTATATAGAAACACACTTCATGTTTTCCAATTCAACATCATACATTCCACCTCTAACAACAACTCTTTCAATGTTCATAGCATTGTCTTTGTTTCCGTCTTCATTTACATTACTCTGTTTTGATCTCCAGGTATTTTCAATTCTGAGACTATCATAACCACAGAATTCCATCCATCTTTTATTAACATCATCTTTGTACAGCCATCGAACTTCTTCAGGTTTTAATGGTTCAGCAAACAGCAATTGTTTTGGTTTATCTTTTTTAGTATCATTATTTTCGTTGTCTATTCCGTTGACTGACAGATGGCAATCTACAAAATAGTAAATTAAATAAAGAGATAGACACTTTGAAGAGATTTTATTTATGCTTTAAATGAAGCTTTTACGATGCTTAATAGAGATGATAGTGATGCAACTATCTTGATTACTTTCTATCTATGTACTCTAGAGTACTTTGACCAATTCAAAACTCAAAGATAAACTTTTAATTGATACTAAAGGTGTGATGGATGATTCATTAAACAGTTATGTTTAAACATGATATCATTAGCAATTAAAGAATGTACTTATTAAGTAGCTCAAAGTCTGTGCAACCATTCTCAATTAGCAGAACCAATAATAGGTCATGGAAAAAAGTTTGTTTTTTATTTTTTCCAGGACCAGATATGTATACCTACGTACCAGTGTGAGTGACATCAGTTTCCAAGGGAGTCTCGCTGAAAGGGTCAACATCGACAAACAAATTGGCGGACATTCTCTTAACCAGAATGACAGCGCCGACGAGTATGACACACCTGGAGGTGTTAAGAATGAGGGATCCAAGATCGAGAGCTACTGGCGCCTTGATCGCTGTTGTCTCTGGATCCTCGAGCAGTACGCACCGTAACAACTTGAATAACAACAATCATATGCACAACAGTGACAGTAAAGTTTATGGATGACAACAACGGAACACAAAAGACCGATTAGATTGTTGGCCAAAGAAAAACACTTGTGACGGATGTTGCACTAATCGATTTGTTTCTTGTTTTGCGATGATCAATTTGTGCCGCAATGTTTTCACATATATGCAGGTTTTATATTCACATAGAGACACACGCACTTACACACTTCTCTGCCTGCTCCGAGCTTACTGACCGTTACTTAGCTGAGAAACCCGCGGAATTGAGTCAGACTCTCGCTTGCGTTATCTCTCTCTCTCTCTCTCTCTCTCTCTCTCTCTCTCTTGCTCTCTCAGCACCCGTCGTAAGCAACATTGTATGTACTTGATGATCTGCATCAGAAAAAAGACACGAGCGCGTGCGGATATCTTGTCAAACGTGAGACTTACGTAATCGAAGCGTGCATTTTTCCATCTTTGATCGCGTGTTTCTATGAGATGATCGCCCGACGCGTAAATTTGTTCTTCTCATTCGCAACCGTATGGCCATTGTTAGGGCTAATCTTTTTGACGTACTTTATGTATTATGAATGACAAGGAAGCACCAATCCAACGCACGTTTCTTGAGTTATATTCTCATTTTGTGTGACTGCGATTTATATATTTTAGTACGTAATAATTTATAAAATAGAAGAATCTTAAGCCAGTGTTTTAATTACCAAACGTTTTTATTAAAAAAAACAAGTGATTGGACAAATATAATTTTCTGTTAATTATCGTTCATATTTTATTAAAAAAAACAAGCCGTGATTGACTTTATCATGGCCTTACTCCAATTATTCTTTGCTGATCTATTTATAACAAGATATGAATAATGGGTAACAGCTCACGACGAGTATAAAGAAATAAAAGAGAAAAAAATCGGACATTGCTCCTTGAATCAAATCTGATTAGCGTATAATAGCCTATTAGACATGCGTAGTCGGTCTTTTGTCAGGGTACGCGCGCGGAACGTTCTTTTCGAGGTATCATTTGATGATTTCAATGTATTAAAAAAAAGATGACATACTCACGTACTGAAGTGGCGACACGGAAATTTCCATTTTTCAATGTGCGTGCACCTATATCTCCGTGGAATAAATGAAGGGATTGTGCAACGCCAGGAAAGAACAAAGATCTCGTTAGTTTGGAATTTCCTTAACGATTGTCTTTTCCTTCTTTCATTGGATGCACCAGCTTAATAGTGATCAGCTTTGAGAAAGAAAGAGACGAAAAAAACAATGGCCCTCAACAACAATAAAACAAAAATAAAAAGTGACAAGAGTGTCTGGCGTCGAGCGTCTCTCAGTGTCTTGTACATTCTTTTATTATTGAATTTTCATTTGAAATTTACCTTCTTTTAAAAGAGCCTTGACAGACAGCTCCACAGCAACAGCTTTAGGCCGGCATTTTTCTCGATATAGCACACTGCAGAATATCGCAGTCAGACTGTCGCGATAAAAATTGCATATACAGACAGGCGCGTGAGGGGACAGATTAGAGCTTTCCAAAGGAGAGCGAAAAACTATAGGTAGATAAGGCGCGGAAAATCGTCGATAAAGATGATATTAATTAATCAACGAGCGGTATGAACGAAAAAGTGTTTTTCGATGAGTTCGTCCTTGCGGAACAACGTGACTGGCGCACTTTGCTCGTGAGATCTGATGAGTGAGACGTAGCACGGTATTGTCGGCGCGCAAGGGACGACGACACGCGTCATCGGTACGTACATTATTTTTGCGAAATTGACGAGAGAGGAGAGGAGGTGCACGTACACGGGTAGTAACGACGACGACGAGTATTATAGAGGAGTGCCGTGGTAGTATACAGTGTCGAGCGTTTTGCTTGCCGAGCTATTCCTTTTTGTTAGCCAGTAGAACAATTTCTCGAAAGTAATCAGCTCGAAAGTAGTAGCTCTATATCATTCTTTATTGTTTCCTTGCTCTACTCCTCGATTCTTTCTATGTTTTTTTTTTCGTTACGCCGAATGAATGAGTTTCTAACTCTACTGTTAGTCAAGCGGCTAAATGACCTTATTGCTGCGTCGACACTGGTAAAATGATATTGTTATCCGTGATATATTTTTTTTAGAAAATTTCACGCGCGCTAATGATAAGAGAATAGGCGCACTTACCGATCATCATGATATATTTTTTGGTGAATTTGATATACTAAAGTCGATTAGCATCTATAATCATAAATTAGGTTTCGCTGATTACATTCGAGAGAGAGAGAGAGAGAGAGAGAGAGCTGACACAGCAAGGCGAAATATAGCCTAATGCCAATATTTGATTAAAAATATGAATCATCCCCGTTATCTTCAAACATGTCCGTGCCGCAATACTGACTCAACGAATAGAAGGCGAGCATTTTTTTATCCGTTTATTGATTTTCAATAGGGGACGTGCGCGGTAAATGTCGACTCTCTTTTTTTAGACGAAACAATAAAGAACTTTAAAAGTTAGTCAATCAAAATATCGAGTGAGCGTACCCTAATGCAAGGCGAGAAAACCTTTCCGAAATAGGTCCTAGTAAATATAAAAGCATTTGTTTTTATAGGAAATAATTGTATTTATTATAGAGTACGTTGATTTAGTTCATTTTACAGTCATTAATTGTAATACACAAGTATATTATATCATGTAGATCATTTCTTACATTCACAATAAAAGTGGAATTATGTATAAATGATATACGGAATTTTTCCATTTTATAAAATCACGAAATTACTATTACAACAAAATTCAATGATACCTAAATTTAAATGTCAATTAATTTATTTTGAAAATCGAGCTAAGTAGAAGTGTATTAATAAAATTGGGAACTTTCACTCGAGTTCGGCTGCTCGCCGAAGTAGAACGTGAATTTTATCCTTTATCCAGGTCTTGTTGTATGGTGCGTACGTATTAGTGGACTTTTGATAAACTAAGCACGACAAATCTGTCAAATCATCAAGGAAATCGAAGAGTTGTTTTATGTCATAGGTAATTGTCGGTGTGTTTGGATTTTGCCTCTTTAGATACTCTTCGTATATTTTACATACGCCTGTGATAAATTAAAGTTAAAAAAATTTATTTTTACCATACTACGTTTGATTATGTAAAGTTACTAAAGTTATACATTAAATAAAATGAAAAATTAAAATAAAAGGACACGGTAGATTTATGGTAAAGCTCAAGTTCATACATTTTTCAAGTCTTAGAGTCCTTTAGTTTTTTATATTTTGTCAGTTTACCGAAATGAATAATTTTAAATACAACTCTACCTCGATTCACAAGAATTTATAAATATCAACAAAATTTACACATAAGGAGTGAAATAGCTCTAACTGCGAAAAAGCTCGGTAAACAGAGAAGATCTGAAAGATTCGAGATGAAGATTTGACGCGCAAGATAATTTTTACGGATTCAAAAGCTCAAGCGACTTGATATAGTTGGCTGGCGATTCCAAGCCGAGTTTTTGTATAAGCCTAACAGTCAAGTACATGGCATTAATAAAGAAATTATTGAAATTGAAGAAAATCTACTGTAGTGTCTTAAATATTAATATTAAAAATGTAGACAATAGAGCTAGTTTCTTTCTAGGTATGAAACAAATTATAATTGGATTTTTTTAAAGTAAAAAATAGTTTATTATATGAGAACAATTAAATTATGTAACTATAAATGAATCCAAAGTTGATCAAGTATACATTTTCAGTTAACAACTTCTTTAATTGTTATCTAACTGTGAGTATTAAAATGCTTACTTTATGAAAAGCTGTATCTTTAAATAAGGTTCAATGATTAGAAATAAATTTATGAACTATCTAACTATCCTGAAACTTTGCAAAGTAATCTGTATTTAAGAATTTTTATATTTGGTGAATAATTCCTTAATGATGTTTTAAAATACAATCAAATTCCAAAGTAAATTTCTTTTTTTATTTTATTATATGTAATTAATTATTCAAAAATCTCTATTGTAAAATTTGTTTAATGTACAGAAATCTACATACGAATGCTTTGTCAAAAGTTTGTATAGTTTTCCTAATATTTTCACGTCAGTTAATCAAATTAGTTTTATATTAATATGTATACAGTACATTTACATTAAAATTCGAGCTAAACAGCATATCCTGGTCTTGTCAATTACATGATAAATAAAGCGTAATATTTCTAATATATGAAATTGACATTAGAAAGTTGAATTCTAAGGATACACAATTTATCAATATTTCTAACTATCCGATATTGTAGTAAATATATCATTAAAACTGTTTTAACTCAATTTTATTTAAAAAAATAACTAATAATTTTAAAGAATAAAAAATAAGCATTGTTTTGATCATTTAATAGTATTGTATATTCATTAATAAGAAATTTGCTGCTCTAATGTAACATATTTATAATAATCAAAATGTTTATTATGTATTCAAGTGACTATTTTGATAATTGTATTAAAGTTGTGGAATTAAAGTGTATAATAAAGTATATATATCAATTTGTACACGTTACCTTCCATGCACTCATTGACACTTTCATAATCTGAGTATGTCCTAGTTTCAGGTCTGTTTGCAGGTTGAACAAGAAGAATAGTGTGTGACTGAAAATAAAGTAATAATTGATTAAAAACTATGATCTTTGAACGCGTATTAATGGGTCGTATACTATTACATATAACCAATCTACACCAACGTTGTGAGCATCAACGCCGCTTACTAACCTAAAAACCGTAATTATTATTTAACGACATTTCGATGATTAAATAAAATATATAATATTGTATCAAGCCAAGTAAAAAAATAGAAAAATGGTTTTTAACGATATGACATTGTTGTAGCGGCTTACAATTACGCAAGAAACGTAAACAAACATTTACATTGACATTTTGAAAGAAGCGAGATGACTTACCATTGTGCAAGTAGGAAAAACTAATTCTATCTACGAATCCTTTGTTTAAAGACTACGATAGTCAGATAATTACTTAATAAATACTACTTTTGATAGTGGAATTGTAAACACCAAATGCACTTTTTGTAAGGTAAAATTCAATCGTGTTCAATAGGAAACAGCGGTAGTTTGTAGTTACATGGGTGAAATCCAGACTTTTCTGTAAGAGTGTAGGAATATATAGTAGATTTATGCTTCTGGCTTCTGCCGTCTACATACATGTAAATGTATTTGTGTCGTCTCAGTTAGAAATTCACTGCCATCCACCGCCATCTAGTAAAACGATGACGCGTTTACGTTTACGACGTTTGCGTTTTTTGTATACTACATATGTTCGATAGTTTGTGCTCTCCTGTTCCACTCTGCGCGGTTCATTGTTTAACGTTCCACGTTCGAAATTCAAATTGGAAACTTATCAATTATATATTTTAAGAAATATTAATATAATTATCTAAATGAATCTTTATTTGTTGTTCTTTTTTGAAGTATTTCATCGATTCAAAGCATAATTGAAAAATATTCATTTTCATAATGTGTAGTTTATAAAACGACGCATACATACACACACACACAAACGCGCGCGCGCACGTGTGTGTGAGCACGTTGATTTTACTGAGTATCTTTATTTAGATAGAAAATAGGAAACTATACCAATTGCAAGTAATCATATAGTTTGTAATTGTAAACGAAGCAATTGCAGACTACTATTCGGCACTTGACGTTTTCTAGATTAATAATTTTGTGTTAATATATATGTCGTAGTACATGTATAGCATTAATTCATATTATGCAATAAAATAGACTGTATATATAGCAATTGCTAATAAATTATAATCGTCACGTTCTCATTCTCATCTACAAATTTTTCTATTATTTGCAAAAAATGTGACTGCGGTTTAATCGTCATCGTTGTTGCGCATGAACAGAGTTGTACGTGCATCGATGTGTGAGTGAATATCATACATATAAGCACAAATACAACATTCATGCCTCAGAAAGTGGTGCGAGGTGTGCGGTAGACACTCGTTTGAAATTTTCGGAGTACATTGCAAGTCGTAAGGGGTCACGAGAAAAGTGAAAATGGAAGCAAAACCAAAGTTGACCCAGGAAGCTGCCTGGAAAAAATTGAACGAATATTACAGCAACAATGGTGCTAAAATCAACATTAATAAACTGTTTGAAGAAGACCGCGGTCGCTTCGATAAGATGAGGTATTGAATTGAGCTTTTCACCATTTGACCTTGAGCTGACCTTTCTCACCTTATCATTATTTTCAGTGAATTTTCAAAAATCGCATTATTATATTACTTTTAACAAATTTCTTAATAAGTTATGCAATATAATCTATGAAATCTGTGTTACTTTATAAAAAGATTTATTATAAAATGATTTTGTTGTAAATAATGAAATGTAGTTTGTAGATGATTTGTATTTTTTTTAATTCATTGAAATTCTAAACAAGATTATCAACAAAACTATTTAAAAATTATGTAATATTGAATGAATATTGCGTGTGATTAATTAAAAGCAACATGAGGCTATATTTTTAACTGATTTAGTTTGACAATTTCCACACCTGAAGATGGACCTATTCTTATTGATTATTCAAAAAATCGTGTCAACGATGAAGTTCTCAATTTATTGTTTCAATTGGTAAGTCATTGGCTAATATATCCACCTATTATTTTATAAGTTCATGAACGAATAGTATAAAAATTACTGGTTTTATTCAGGCTAAGGCTCGTAAAGTTGAAGATGCTCGAGATGCAATGTTCACTGGACAAAAAATTAATTTCACAGAAGGTAGAGCTGTGCTCCATACTGCCCTTCGAAATCGAGCCAATACTCCTATCATGGTCGATGGAAAAAATATTATGCCTGATATAAATGCAGTTTTAGCTCACATGAAGCAATTCACCAATCAGGTACACATTTTAAATTTTGAGTATTTTAATAGAATGGCAAATAAAATTTCTGTTTTTGTTTTGAATAGGTCATTTCCAAACAATGGAAAGGTTTCACTGGCAAGCCTATTGAAGATGTTATTAACATTGGTATTGGTGGGTCTGACCTGGTAACTATTTCATTTTTTTAATGTTAAATTTAATAAAGCATTTCTTGGGTTGACTTTTTAAAAGTTAACATATATTTCATTCATAGGGACCTCTTATGGTAACAGAAGCTTTAAAACCATATCATATTGGACCAAGAGTTCATTTTGTCAGCAATATTGATGGAACTCATATAGCTGAAACACTGAAGAAGCTCAATCCTGAAACAGCTCTCTTCATCATTGCATCAAAAACTTTCACAACTCAGGAAACAATCACCAATGCTACTTCTGCTAAGAAATGGCTTCTTGAGCATATGATGCAGAATGTAAGTCATTACAGCTTTTTAAAATTTCAAAATAAATTCAAAATAATTAAATAAAAATATTTTTACAATAGGATTCTGCTGTGGCTTCTCATTTTGTAGCCTTATCTACAAATAACCAGAAAGTCAAAGAATTTGGTATAGATGAAAAGAACATGTTTGGTTTTTGGGATTGGGTTGGAGGAAGATATTCTCTGTGGTCTGCTATTGGTTTATCAATTTCACTATCTATTGGCTTTGATAACTTTGAAAAGCTTCTGGAGGGAGCTTTCTTTATAGACCAACATTTTCAAACAGCTCAGTTAGAAAAAAATGTTTGTAACAGTTGTGATTTTCATCAAATACTAATTTTTTAAACTTGTTGTTAATGATAATACCATAATATTTTAGGCTCCAGTGATTCTTGCTTTACTGGGAGTTTGGTATCACAATTTTTACAATGCTGAAACTCATGCATTGTTGCCCTATGATCAATATCTTCACAGATTTGCTGCTTACTTCCAACAAGGAGACATGGAAAGTAATGGAAAATATGTGACCAGGTCTGGAGAAGTTGTAGATTATTCAACAGGTAAAAGTGTAAAATAAAGGATAATTATGTATTTTTTGTCATGCTCGTACTAATATTTTTTAGGACCTATTGTTTGGGGAGAACCTGGAACTAATGGGCAACATGCATTTTATCAATTAATCCATCAAGGCACCAGACTCATTCCAGCAGATTTTATTGCACCTGCACTATCTCATAACAAGGCAAGTTATGATGTGAAAAGTGTAATAATGTACATTGAAATTAATCTATAAATCAATCTATATTATATTGTCGTATAGTTTGAAAAGGACTTGCATCATAAAATTCTTCTTTCCAACTTCTTAGCACAAACTGAAGCTTTAATGAAAGGAAAATCTCCAGATCAAGCTCGAGAAGAGCTTAAAAAATCTGGATTGAATGCTGATCAAGTCGAAGCATTACTCCCACATAAAGTTTTTGAAGGAAATCGACCAACAAATAGCATTCTTGTAAAAAAGCTCACTCCATTTATTTTGGGAGCATTGATTGGTATATATTAATTTACATAATTCTAATTATTCGTCCAATTCGTACTTTTAATCGTCACTTTCTTGTTTCCAGCTATATATGAACATAAAATCTTTGTACAAGGTATCATCTGGGATATTAACTCCTTTGATCAATGGGGGTGAGTAAAATAATGTCATTATAATGACAATGCATAAAAAAAATATTGACTAATAATATAAATTAAATTTTCAGTGTTGAATTGGGAAAACAGTTAGCTAAAGCAATAGAACCTGAATTGAACAATGCTGATAAGATTACCAGTCACGATTCATCTACAAATGGACTAATAGCTTTTATCAAGGCTCACAGCGCTTAACTTTTGTTTGATCAACAAAGCACCAATTTGGAAAAAACAAAAATCTGTGAGGTTTTAAACGTCGCTCTTTAATGAAATTTAGCTACATCTGGAAAGCGTTATCAATGACTTATTAGCCTTTTATAAAAGTTAGACTTGCATGTTCTTTTTATGTCGTACTAGTACTCTTGTGCTTTGAAACTCAATTGGTGACTAAGTTACACTTGCAATTCATTGCAGTGTGCTTATGATTACTTATACTATATATTATAGTTCGTGTAGATTGCAAATTATTTATGAAAAATTCTAATAATTAAATTTCAGAGAAATTTCAATAATTGTAAATGCTAAAAGCAATATTAATTAGCATTGAAATGTCGATTTGTGGAAAAAAAATTTGTTTTTTTTTGCTCCATTTCATTGAATTTTCTGATTGTACAAAAGAAAGCCATCTATTCTTTTTTATGTTTTATAAAAAATATCCGTATTATGCTCATTTTGATACATATCTTTCACAAATCAAACGCTATTTTATCTGATTGATAAATTTTATTGTACTTCATTACACTAGATTAGCGGTGCTATAATCTACAACACTATTGAATTCTATATATCAACAGCATTATCATTGTTAACGTTAATAAATTAAATATATAAAATCAATCGCTAGCTAATCTCATTATATTATACCTGTACTTGCAAACGTTTTTAAAATAACGCGGTCGAGTGTAAAACTCACTATATACTACGTAAGAAAAAAAATTCGTATACGAGAGATAAATGAGGAAAAAAACACCGTCAAACATAGTAACAATACAAGGACACTCAAGCTCTTGAAAAGCCAATGATGCGTAACACGATTAATTGTGCGGTGTAGTGTGGCGGGACTTCCTGACAGGCCTGGAATAAATTATGAGTCGCGCCCGCGAACTCTGCACGCACCGTGTGTGCGTTGTCGTTGCCTCTGCGAGGCAGTTTCCTCTGAGCGCTCTTGCGGCGCGGAGCAGCACACAAGAGATGTTCTTGCCGTGGACGTGCGTATGTCTTTCGTCATCGCTTTTTTAATTATTATCTTTTGCGAATACGATAGCGCGCCTTGAAATCGCAGGTTCTTCTCTGCTTTATATACGTTTTTACGTGTATGTGCGTGCCATTTACGGGAGCGCGCAAGGCTCGCTAATATTTCGCTTTTGCTGCTGCGAGTGTTTCGATATTTATTTGAAATTCGTTGAATAATAGTTAATCCTGTGCAATAGGTTAACCTTGAATATTATACTATTGTTAAACTGCGTATTCTCGTTACGTGTGATAACGTGTAAATTTACTTCTTTTTTATTCTCCATGCGAAATCTTAGTTGTTTTTTGAATATATGGAGATTGACTTTTTAAATCGACGCAAGTCGTTTAAAGATCAAAGACGGACTTAAGACTGAGTGCGAGAGAGCGAGTGAGAGAAGAGATACGCGTTTTTTTTTTTACACTGGCGTATTTACATTGCGCGCTCCAGTTTTGGTCTTCCCTTTTTGGCGGGCGGCGGGGGTGTGGTGCACAAAATAGTGACTTGATGGCGTGAACAGAAAGAAAAATAAACGATTCGTAAGAGAAAAGTCAAGGAACGTTTTATCGCCAGAACTCGAAAAGTGCACGCATCGAAATGGAGATTCTTACGAGAAATTACGACGTTCTGGAGAAGAGGATTTTAAACAGCCTCACAGCCAGCCATCTACGTCAGCGGTACGTCCGTTCGTCGATTAATTAAATTGGCTATCCTTTTTTTCCTTCCTTCTCTATTCTCTTATGTGCTTCTCTTTCGCGTGTGTAGTCTTAAACTGATGGACCAAATAAGATATACATCTACATGAACGTGACTTAACCTCGAATGCCGTACTCTGACACCTTTCTGTTATTATGCAGTTTTGTCCTTATTTGCGTCAGTGCGCAGTTTCTTTGTCGAGTATTTTTGCTCCAGGAAAAAGAGCTTCTTTTTATTTTTTTTTTTCATGTACCTCGTAAATATTTCAGCTTGCATGATTTATTTCTAATTATATCTTTGTCAAGTAAATAACTGAGTTTTTTCAATTATTCCAAAGTAATTTCAAACAATTATATACAAAACTATTTGTTGAATACCTTTTTATGAACTTTTTTAAAACTCCAATTAATTTTCATGTTGATAAAAGAAAATCAAAGATAAATATCTGTGCTCTAAAAATTGGGAACAACCATTTGACATATCTTATCAGAGTTAAATAAATTATTCACTTTAATCTTTTTCCTAAAATCATTTACTACTCAATGCTGCTTTATCTTTTTAGTAGAAAGCAATGGAATGTAATAATTTTTCTCTTTTATAGAACTAAAGACTGCACTGGGCTGTGGCTTGGACCATTAATTGGCTTGAGTGCATTGTTTACTTTTTTAAAAGAGGATAGTAGTTATTCTGAAATATGTTTGCTGAATGGAATTGCAGGAGGTGGCTTGTTTATCAGTTGTATATGTTTATATACTCGTCTGATGTCACTTAATGTCTCAGCAAAAGACTTTCATGTTGTATATTTTTTACCTGCCATAACTCTATCAATGTTATTTCATTTTGTTGGAGGCAAAGGTAATAAATAAATTTTCCATTATATTATGTTATGCATTGTAAAATTCATATTCTTCAAATCTATTTTTTTGTTTAAAGGTTTGTTGGTGAGTGTAGCATGGGGTCTTACTGTGGGAAGCTTGAGTACATGGGGTGTTATTCAAGTAATGTCCAGCTTCCCCAGAGCATTTACTCTAGGTGAAGCCACAGCTGTAACTCATGGCATTGTACTTTTTTTACTTTCTACTTTTACAAATTTACCTTTGAGGTATCACTTACCTCCAATTCATGATAATGATATTGCTACTGTAATATTGCAAGTGAGTGTTTCCAAATACATGATATTGTCGTTAAAATTATATTATTTTAAATCACTTTCTATGATTATAGGTAGGAATTTTGTACATTATGTTAATTTGCATTCTTTGTGCAAATATTCCTGCTTTACGTGGACCAACAAAGTTTTACTCAATGGCATTAGGAATACTCATTATTTTAGTTATTCCAACATTGCATGTTATACTTGATCAGAGTCCATTACTTTGGATCATGCATTTTGTGTTCAGCTCATACAGTAGAGTAAGTTTATCAAGTAGAAAAAATTTATTTTGATATCATTATTTGATTTTAATGCTAATACTTTTTTTTTTCTAATAGATAATGATGGTAGTTTATTGGGCAACGTGTTTATTCTTTGCTACTATAGCTATAATTATACAAATTTCGAGAAATTCTCAGGCTACTACATCAGTCAGAAAAATTTTTCATATTTTGTCTGTAATTGTGTATGTTCCTGGCTTTATTTGGGATCCTACTTTTCTATATTTAGCAACTGGTGTCATTTTAGCAGTTTTTGTAGCTCTTGAGGTAACTTTTAAATTTTATATTTTGTAAAGTTGTTAATGCAAATATTATAGTGGCCATTATTTGTTTAGATATTAAGATTTTTGCATTTACCGCCATTAGGAGGGTTTCTTCAAGATGGATTTTCTATATTTGCTGATGAAAAAGATGTTTTAATTTCTCTAACTCCATTATATTTATTATGTGGTTTATCAGCATTTTTATGGATGCCAATTGAGAGTATGAGTTTATTATCTCTTATGAGTGGTGTCCTAACCATTGGTATTGGTGATACTGCAGCTAGTATGGTAGGAAGTACTTGGGGAAAGCACAAATGGGTGGGCACTGATAAATCTATAGAAGGAACAATTGCCTGCATAGTGGCTCAACTTATTTTTATTTTTGGACTTATTCTTTTTGGTATGTTACATTAGAAATATCTAATATTTTTACATAAGTTAATTAGTTAAACGATTTTTAATAAAATTTTTATTTCAGGGTATATAGAAAATATGTCACTACTAGTCAGAAGTGTATGCTCAGTAATTCTGGTATCATTTATAGAAGCTCGTACTGAACAAGTAGACAATCTGGCATTGCCATTCGTTATGTACCTGTGCCTTATAATTTAAAAAAGAAGTTGACGTGAAAATATGGATTATCAAAACAGTTATCACGCTCAAGTCTCCAAAAGTACAGAATATTAGACCTGGAGTCTAATACATTTGAAGGATCAAATATAGATTTAACTTGTTGTAAATTAAATTATATATTTATTATATTGAAAGTAAAACATCAATGGATGTATAAATCTTTATATATTTTTTTGTTGAAAGGATATATAATATTGCAAACTAAATTAAAATTTGAAAATTGACTAAGACGTTTGAGCATTCTGTCAATACAAATAAGTAATGTCTTAATTACAAATAAGTAATTGCTTAATAAAATGCATTGTTTTTTATAATTTCTCGATATAAAATAGTAAAATATTATTAAGGAAATGAAAAATTATTATCGTCCGAGATTACTTTTTCAGTTTCCTCAAATGATCTTGCTTTACTAATATTCAAATTTTAATGACGGTATACTTAATTGATAAGTTATTGAATTGGTTAATTTGTTTTTGTTATAAATTTATATCTGTGAATTATTGATTTTAGAACGATTAGAACGACAAATTTTATATAATACTTATATAACGCGTATGTTTATATGCCAAACAACGAATAATTTAAGTGATGTTATAACGATTGTGCCTAAGAACATTTTTTTACAAAAAAACAATGATAAATTATAGCATTCCTACTAATGCAATTCTCAATCAAACGCAGTTTAATTATACTATCATAATTGAAGTTTCCTATAAATAAACGCAAACTCTCATGTATAGAGATGTAATCGTTTCTGCAGTAGAATATTTTTTCGTATGTGCAAAGCAAGTCGAGATGTAAATGCCTATTAAGTTTTCCTGAAAGAAAGTGATCACATAATGTCACAAGAATTTTGTCTAATCAAGTATAATTTTTGGTGTTATATATGTGTGTGTATGTGCGTACGCGCTCGCACGTGCGCGTGTGTGTATGATATCTAATAATTATATAGATATATTATAGTTATTATGATCAAATTAAAGTGATCATAAAATAGATATTATTTTTTACTTGAGAACGAAACAAATATGTAATGTAATATTATATTGCGCCTCGCTATTTTTATAAAACATGCTTAGTAAAGCATTTACCATCGATGAAAGAAAGTGTAAGTAAATTATTTTATTGTATTAATGATTTCATAAGAACTGTGAATAAATATATAGTAAGCCGATAAATCATAACATTTCAAATAACATGGAAATGGGTGAAGGTTTATGCAAAAAAGTTTGAGTAAGTATTAAAAATATTTAAGAATTAAAAAATGCTTAAAATAAAATTTCATACCACTAATCAAATTAATGTATGCATTAAAGTTGTATTTCTTTTTCAACTTTTATATGTGTGATTTCGCGCAATGTTAGTAAAAAATAGATTCAGTTTTTACAAAGCTAAAATGTGAATGAAAAGTTTGTGATATAAAGTTAGACTGTAAAGAAATGTCAATTTATTATACCTTAACAGTCGTTTATGTTCTATATTTAAAATCTACGTAACTATCGTGAAAGACTAACAATTTTTATTTTTAAAAATTTTAATTTACCGCATAGTTTTCAAATTTGTTTGCGCAGAAGAATATTGGATCCAAATATCAAGACAAGTAATTGTTCGAATCTATGCGTATCGTGGCGAAAAGCAATAACCATGTATTTTGTTCTTCTGTAATAGATAAAAAGAGCAATGATAAATATTAAATGAAAGTAAAAATAAATGTGCATGTTGGATAAGCTACGGAATAAAAAATTTTTCAGATTTATGCATATGATTATAAATAATGTAAAAAATAAATATTATCGATGTAAATTTTTATGAATAGTTAAGGTACAGGATAAAAATCTCTTTGTTTTGATCAATATTTCTATGGTTCTAGATATCGATACTCGTTGTCAGTTCTTTTTTATTATGGGTCGATCTCCTGTCTTAATCACTTGTACTTGTCGAAATGCTGTCCTTTTATCATCGAAATTTTATGCAACTTTAGAACTCTGTAGTTACCATAAAAGTGCATTAACTGATTTGTCCTAAAGCTGCACACTATCGATTATTACATTTGTCATTTTCTTTTAAAATCTGCTGTTGCAGTTGCATAGCATGTAAATAAATAACATCATGATAATCGTGATTTTAATTCTTACTGATTACCTTATACATATTATTTTCAATTCTTTTAAACTACTACGTTATCAAAACTTGAAGTCAACCGTACCAAATTTTATACAGCAGCATTCATGATTCATAATTTCTTAAGTTATTATTTTCAACTATTCTATAGTTTAGGCCTTAAGAAATGTTGAATTCCGCAAAAAGCGATGCACATAGTTGAAAATCGAAGACAACGAAAGACATGCATACCGTCTTTGCCCTTCCTACTCTTGTTTTTTCATGTACATGTTCGTAGCTACTCCCATAAGGATATTAAGGGTTTACTAAATTGTCTACGGTTGTAGATTTTTATTGTTTTTTCCTTTTCCACCAAAGAAGCCCCGAAAGATGCAGAGCCGTTTACAAGCGACGCGCGTTCAGTTCGCAAGTAGCCGACACGACAGATAGTCGCACTCCAAATTTACATCTTAAGTTATAATCATTGTTTTACACACAAAGTGTTTTATATAGTATTTCAATTAACTAAAGATATTCAAGTTTATATTCGCGTACTACGGTACGTGCTGCTTTTATTTTGTATTATTTACTTTGAGTTTGCATTGTTAATAAAGTTTATCTAATAATAACACATCATTGTCATTAACAAATAACGACAAAAATGATAAGTTTATGATACAAAGTTAGACTGTTAAATTATTAAATGTTCAATGTGTCTAATATAACGTGTCAAATAATAAAACCACGTAGTTTAGATTTCGTAAACTAATTCTCCGTAACAACTGCTTAGGGAAAAAGTAATTTACAGCTTTTATTTTTTTACGGTTTTATTAATCGCAGTCTTAAACAGTAGAGCATTAGAGCCGTGTAACAATACAAGTCATTTCACGGGCCTTTGGGTATTTCGGCAAAACGCAATAAAAAAATATTCGTTCTTCCGTGAAAAATAAAAGCGCACGTTGTATGCGACTTAGGAATTTGTTCATTCATACGCATATAATTCGATTATGAAATATTACATTACGATACAAGTGCGGGAAAATAGATTCTAAAAATAGATTTAAAAAAAACGAGAAACTCTTTCCCGAACATGTGCCGTACCGTATTTTTTGATACGACGTGTGGAAAGTGCGATTTTCAACGCACGTTTTTTGCCGAGCGTGCGGGAAAAACGCAGCAGTTTTTAAAGTTTGACAGAGTCAAAGTCAATCGTACATACACCTTCTAAAATGTAGTCGTTCATTTTTTGAATGATTATACGAATGTTGAATTTGTAACTGTGGCATTCGGTGACCAGCAAAGAATCATAATAATTGATTGTTCCTGAAGGTAAACGCTATATATTTATTAAACCTACAAATTTTTTACTGTTTGTATAGCACGTAAATAAATAACGCTGATAATCGTGATTTTAATTACTATTCATGACCTATACATCTACTTTTCATCCCTTTCGAAGTTTTGCAATGTTATCGATGCGTTTTAAACGCAACGAACTCTTATAGCCATAATATGGCTGAAAATTAAGCAGTGTTTAAACTATACTTTTGCAAGAATAATTTTATATTGAATATGCTTATGACATGATTGATGTTGTTAGCTATGATTACAATCGAATCAAATGTTGCATACAATACATTGAAGCTCAGTAAGTGATATTAATTAGTTATTCATCATTCTTTTTTTCGGTCATTAACCTTATGTCCATTTAAGTTATTCGTCTCAAAATCTAATTGAGGACAATTATTTGATAAAATATTTCAAGGCTAGTTTTATATCAAGAGATAATTCATTATTCAACTGGACATTTTAAAACGATTAACGTTTAAGCTGGACAAGTAATCGTACGTTAATTGATTGTATTTTTCAATTTATCCAATCCATGACATTTGAAATGTTCATTGAATTAATTGTATTTATGTTTTTCAAATTTGTAAGTATTACTTATTAATCGTTTCGACGAAAAATTGACATTATACTTGTGTTAGTTATGGATATATTAATAATGGGCAAATTTTAATTGAATTTGTATATTGGTAAGAAAATGATTGAAACAATGTATTTTTTATTGAATACTTTATTTGAAAAAAGAATTACATGTTTTTTTTGTTGTTGATCGGTTATGTTATTCAATAACAACTTGCCCATATTCACTTCCTTCTCTATACGTGCGCAGTAGTTGTATTGGTACGTTGAACTCAAGTGTGTACATACGCGTCGTAATGGTTGTGAATGCCAAAAATGAGTTCAATCTCGATGATTTCGTTCAAAGTGATCAGCCTAGTTACTACTTTTACGTGATAGTCAAATGTATAAGGTATTTTTTAAAGGTAATCTCCAGAAAGCGATACTACGAAAAGGCATCGCGTATAGCAACATAAATTTCATTTTTATTTTTTGTTGAAAAATAAAAATTTCTACATATTGGATTATTTTTACAATGGGTCGACTTTATTTTCGTTGAGAAGTTTCAATTTTCGTTAAAAGTCGGACCAAAACTTTTGATACATTACAATGTTAGAAAATGATACATGGCCAATAAATGAGATAACATACTCAATATAAACACGCTTTTTTTTATAAATTTTACTTACTATTTTTTCATAGAACTGATAAAATTCAAAATCTTTGGAATGACCTTGAAACTACACAAACTCAAAATTCGTTCGTTAAACTTCGTCCCCCATCACATTTCATTTTTGTAATTTACGAAAGTACGTATAATTCTATTAATATAATTCGCATCTAACTATTTCTGAGCCAACGTCAATGCATATTTGCAACGATAACTTTTAACAAGACATCATTGTAAATATGTATTATAGTTTTATTCAATAAAATATGATGCTTTAACGTAAATTGTCTTTTTTAGCACTAATACTGTTTGCTAATTTCAAATGCAAGCATTAATGTCCAACAAAAATATCTAAGTTATTTAATTTTTTTTTTCGATCGACTAATCGTGAGTAAGGTAATAATTCATTCTGCTTAATCTTGGGTGTACTTATCGTACTTGCGTGATAATGTTTGTGTTCAACAGGCATGATTCGGAGTTTCACTTTATTTTATGTTAGTGTTTTATCAGTGACTGCATTTATTTAGTTTATCAATACAAAATTCAGTAAATATTTATTGTTCACGCTATAATCAAAGGAAAAATGATAGACAATAATTATTAAGGAGGAGCACGCGCAATTAAATGATTATTATAAAATACTGTCTTGCAGTTTACGTATATCTCTGAAGCGTAAACTGACATCATGAATTCTCAAATATAGTATCATAAAAAAATAGATCGATGAAAAATTATAAATTTAATGAAATGTAGGATTAACTATATTACGCAATGATAAAATTTACATAATGATAAATTATAATATACACATATATTCCGTAGAATTTTCATGATATCGTTTAACCAGGGCGAGTTCGTGAATGTCTATGTTCAATTTATGTTTAAATAAGAACATCCACGCCGCACAAAACGATTACAATTTTACATTTAGTCAGACACTGACCTTTGGTTTGTTTTTTCGCTATCACTCGTGAACCTTTTACCAATTTGTCTCATGCTCACTTCGAGAAATCGAACAATCATTGTGACTTAAAAAATTTGTTTTTTTTTCATTTCAAGTATTCTCTCGCAGTTCAAGCAATTGTACATAAGAAGTTCCAAATGCTTTTTGATACTATATAGAATGAGCTTGATATCCATCAGATAAATTAAGGCGTAAAACGACGTAAAAAATATTCACAGCGCACAATATTTTTCGCTATCTACATATATATCACTATTAATCAGTCGAATAATCTTGATTTTTTAATCTCTAAGCTTCACATTGTTACATCATGTTTCATTCGTCGCTTACACAATTTTTCCTGGCTGATTCTCTCGAATTTCACTCAGAAGCAATTGATAACCAAAGCCGTAAACATAACGTCTTTCACTACAAATTTTGCTATCACCATCACACTAACATTCGAATTGTAACTTTATATTGACAATGTCGAGTGGTAAAATATTGTAAGTTAATAATAAGGAAGAGAAGTTTAATAAATAACGAAGCAAAGTGTTATCGGTCGATTTCTCAAAGTGAAGACATTTTTCATCGATCAGACAAAAAGCTCGAGAACCATTAATGGTTGGATCTAATAATAATCAGGGACGCATACTCGGTAATCGATATATGGGCCATTACTTAGATCGTCGCCTCCCCTTTCCCCTAACATTCTATACATCGATTATATGGTTTTATAAAACAGAATACAATTGCCGTGCCTCCATTTGCGTATCATTCACTTTGTAAAAGATCTGAGCACTCGTTGTACACTTGATTTCCAGGTCAATACTTCCAAAGGGGAGTTTTTTCCTCGCTCTGGCGGGAATGTCGGTCTAACTGATATATATATGTAAGTAATTGAACTGCATGCAGATAAGGCTTTAATAATACTGTTTCTGCGGAAAGCGTGACAAGTATGGAAGTGCTCAGATTTGATACATGCGCGATTAGATTAGTGAATACGCTTTGGATTGACTGGACAATGAGGGCCGAGAGAAGGAGAGAGATAGAACTGTTTTCGTAGGATAAGTTTGTCTTTTTTTTTGTTTTCTCGATCGAGGGAGCGGCGGGTAAAATCACGCGAGTTACATATATTTCATCAAGATGGTAACTCTAGCGCCGTTTACTCTCGTAATTTATGCCAGTCAGCAATTTGACGTTTCGGCGAGCTGCAAACCTCGTTCCAATGATTCAGCGCTGAGCCTTGACACTTGGGTCCGCCAATTTCTAGCCGTCCAATGACCTGTCGCGAGCGATCATCGACGTTAGTTACAGTTACTCAAAAGGATCATAGATCCGGCGAAAACTACGAAGCTATCTTACCTCGTTCTTGGTAACTCTGTCCCAGTCAAGTAGAGCAAACTCCAAACTGATCTTACCGAGACCCTCGGCGCCATGCGGAATCTCGAACACGATTGACTCGTTGAAAATAGGGTTGAGCGTGCGTTTCTTCACGTGCGTCTTCCTCTTAGCGATACGCTGACCATTGTAAAGCAAATAAATCTTCACGTAGGGATCTGCTAATCCTGTCACGTCCATCTTTGGTAAATTTCGAGCTTTCAGTACGACTACCGTCAGTTTACTTGCTGCGGGTTGCCAGCATAATGATACCAAAAGCTCTCCGCGACCTTGAGATTGGATCTGACAAGATCAAAAATTAGTACTTCATTTTTCTTAGTTATATTCCATAGTATTGTTATTAAATTAAAAATTCATAAAGTTACCTTCAAATTTCTCGGGCATATTTCGTGACACAAAGTGATATGCTGGTTTTGCGTAATATCCAAGTCGGTTATTGAAGAGATTGCGCAGACAACTTCTCCAATAACGTCATCCCGTGAGTATCTGTCAAAACTCATGACTACGAAGTGCAGGCTGATTTTCTAAAAATACAAATAAAAGAAAGAGAACAACAATTAATCAAATTAATTTAATAAAATAGAAAGTTATGAACACGACAGACACGAGTTAATAATTTATTAGTGTACAAGTAAGTTCAGAATGACAAAAATATGTAAAATCTAATCGATCTAGTGGAAAAGCTCTTTCTCAAGTTAACACGAGAGAATGTTACGAAATATGTCGCGAATAGGGATTGACAAGCTCTTCGATAAATATTCAGTGCAGATCCTTCGAAGAAGGTCGAAATATAGTAGCTAAAAGCCACAAGAATATGTTTTTAACGAATAAACTTGTAAACTGAACAAGAAAGTTTTCTTTTTTTAAAAAAAGAAAAATAAGGTCAGATGTTAAAGTTTTAATATATATTTTTTCCAATCTGAAGGCGACAAACCTTTAACTTTAATTCATTATAACTTTAATACAAGTGTAAATTGCAAATTGGATCGGAAAGAAACCAACCTGAAGCTGAGTACGCGATATACCAAAGAATGTAAAGTCCTCATCGTAAATTGGATCCCTAGTGTTTCTAAGCACTCTGGTCTTAGTACGGTGTTGTTTATCGGGTAACAGCTGCAACTTGACATATGGATCACTGCTGGCATTGTGTTGACCACGAGCTGGCAGACCCTTGCACTTGACGACCGTGACAACTAGGGCATTTTGCTCGCTTAGATATCGCAATTTGAAAACCAACTGTCCAAGACCATTCCTGTCGGATTCGAACGTTTTGCAGTCGCCGTTCCGGTCAGCCTTCTCGCTGTTCTCCAATTCGGCCTTGTCACGCTCGTTCTCGATACTCAACGTCACGTCTGCCGATGGCGTTTGTACCGGTGTGGCTCCACCTGTCATTGTGCGTTTATTCGCTTTTTTTCTTTCTTTTACAGAGGATACGTACTTGAGAGGCGCGCGTGTCTTGCGCGAATAATGCATTGAACACGTGTTTACAAATAATAAGCCTTTATCAAGGAAATAGAACGTGTGTTCGATGACGCGAGTTTACTCTAAAGTGGGTACGATTTGGCAATCGATCGCATTTAAATGGGGCAATTGCTGGATGTATTATATATATTATGCCTTTACAATACGACTGTATACACGCGTATTCGATATTTGATTCGGAATCAACTGAACGCGTAATTTATGAGCTTAGTGCACATCAAATAGCTTCTAATTATAAAAACTGAGATCTACTTAAATTCATATCGCAATCACAGATAAAATTGCTTTCGTATGTAAAGGTTAATCTGAAAAAGTGAGCATTTCACCCGTAACGATAACGAGCTTGCGATATGTATCTGCAGCGTCCAACAAACAAAGACGTGATTAGCAATTGTTAAATGTTATTGATAGTTAAACCATCTATTCATGTCGCTGATCTTCATCAATGCATAAACTTTTTCTCGCTAGTTTATCCAACTGACATTGCCATTCGCGTAAAATATTTGTGAAGCGTATTCGTCATTTTGAAAACCAATACCCTTAACGTAAAGAAAACGTTGAAACATTACACGGGAATGCTTTTAACTTAATATTCTGGTTTTATTCTAGCCGAAGCTAATAAAGACATGACCACAACGGCGACGTAAGTCCACCGCAAAAAAAAAGTATGAGCAGACTGTTATAAAAGCGAATAGAGTGACAGAGGGGTAAAAGTAAATTCATATAAGTAGTTATTGACAATATGCACTCAACATCATTAACGCTCTCATCACACTTATCTGGTAATGGAATAATGCAGCTTGTGCCAATCAATGTAATCTTGCTTATCGAATGATAAAAAGCTCGAATCGAGAATAAAAGGCCACATATCCCATCCATATTGCGTCTCAAATCCCATATATTGGACGCACTCAATAAAATGTGGAAACGAGATGATCGTAAGTCTCTAACACGCAGAAGCCTCTCAGTAAATTCTTTATTGAATCATAAATCCCGCGCTTGCTTACCTTGGGGAGATTGTCTTGACTGGCCTGGTAAATTGGTAGGTTGAGGCCCCGTGGGACTCGGCGTCTGTGCACCAGGTGGACTTTTAGCCGGACCCGTGGGACTTGGACTTTTCTTTAGATAGTGACCTTGACTGCCGGGACTTTTCACTGCCGTTGGCTTACGATGCGGTGGCCTGAAGGCTAATGATTTGTCCGAGCCAAGCTTTGTATGCTCGCGACGTCGGCGACACAGCCACCATGTCATTGCTATCACCGATACCAAAAAGCCCATGCCCACGCACACGCCGACGTACACTGCTGGCGATACTGCAATCAAGAGGATGAGAGCGCTCGTAAGCGCGCGCCACAGGCATCTCTCTATGGCCTTCGTCGAATGTCACCCGTGCGACGCGCAGATACGTGTACACGAAGCTATCTCCAGTCCCATTCTCACTTTTTATCGGCTCGTTACAAGTCCGCGCTTTTATTATTTGACTTTTCATCCTTTCCGCGCCTCTGTAACGTCGAGCTTTTCGAGTGCTTTTGTTTGTGCTTTGTTACGCGTTCTTTACGGCCCGCTCACTTTTACTATGCGCGGGACCTGCATGAGGATTCGAATGTACATTTCGCGTATGCCTATACGTATAGATGTTTTGCTTTCGTGGCTAATGAAATTTTTTATTTCTGCCCTCCCAGTTGCTTTTCGCGTGAAACAAACGAGCAATCAACTCTATAAGTACGATGGAAAATCAATTGTTGCGCGCTACCATCTTCGGCTATTCTCCACGTGATCAATCACTTTTGCTCCTAAGTCTTTATCTTCTAATCAATTCCATTAAAATTACAAGTTTCGACGAACTTGTTTGTGTTGTTCTACACGAGTCAACAATGAAAGCACCGATTGTTGCGTTATAGATTGAAAGACAGCTCGTGATTGCAAAACGTTACCCGATATTTTGTTACGGTACAGTACCCCGCAGAGACTGCAAGGCACACGGTGCGTATATCGTAATTGGTCATCTTTGTTTGCAGTGTTACGACGCGAGAGCGCCGAGATTTCGCTTCGCGTTTGCGTCATAAAGCTTTACACGACAACCGTACTTTACGTCTGTCAAACGACGCCTCTGCGATAATTGATTTACGCGTATTCATTCGCATTTTACGCACCTCGAAATTGCGCTCATGGCCCATTCTTTGGGTACAACGTGACTAGAAAAGAAAAGCGAACGGCACATTATGGCTCTTCTTCGATATTCCTCGGAATAAGGCGCAAGAGGCCAGCTCACGACAAGCCTCGTTTGAATAATCAGCGCGCGACCAGCGTGTCGCGTTGCAAGCTTTGCTCGCCTCAAAGTTACGCAATAATCGCGATCGTTACGTCTCGTTCGCCGTAACGATCGCGGCAGCTCTGTGCAAGCCAAGCCCGGGGATCGAACCTGTTGATGAAGTTTACGCATGACCCCGAGGGTAAGTCCACTTTTAGCCGGAAACCCTCAGCCTCGTGAAAAAAAAAAAGAAATCTGCGCAACAACGCTCTCGCGCTCGCCCACGTAAAGCTCGTTCGCAAAGATGGGTGGGTAATTGGCCAAAGTTTTCCTTCCACTCAAATTGACGCCAGCCGAAGGGAGAGATGGGGAGGGGGTTGAAAGCACATTGACTTCTGCGTGCTTCCTTGTTTGCGCTTTCGCCGCTCTCTTATGCGTCACCTATGCTGATTGCGCGCCGTGACTTCTCGCTACTGGTTCCAGAAAAAACGTCGCAGCTCAACTGTTTCTGGTATTGCCGCAAAGTAATTTTAATTGAATTGATACTTGACAAACTTTCCATCGACGGGATATTGAATTGATACAGCTAATGCGAAAAGTGTGACTTGCCATTTGCCCAGCGTTATAGCGCGTCAAATTAATCGCCAAAGAGGCTGTCATTAAGTCGAACCGAGCGCAACGACGACAGCGTGACTTTAACGAACCAGAAGATAGCGCAGCCGAGGAGAACAAAACTTAGCTGAAATCTCTTACCTTGGATCTCTTCGGGCAGAACAAAAACGCAAAATAATTATAGGGAGCAATAAAGTCGAAAAGAAAAGAAATCTCGAAACATAAACGTTCTTCGAAGAAAAAGAAAATACGGTGTAGTTAGTATTTTCTACACATGTATATTCGCATTGTAGTATCTTTGTCAGGCTGCAGCTGGAGAATCGATCGACAAGTATTTCGCCTAGCCGGGCTACTTTTTAGCGCGCGCGCGTGTGTGTGTTATTTGTGCAATCTTGCGAATGGTCGCGACCGCGTGGTGTTGCTTCAGTGCAAGTATTCCAGCCAAATAACGTGAGCTCGTAAACCCTTCGTAATTAGCTGCGAATAAGTATGCACACGCAAACACACGTCAGGAATTTTCGACGCTCCAAATCACGGCACACATTAGACTAGAATCCGTACTCCGAAGGAAAGAAGCGTGTTGATCGACTTATTGTCGCGCACAAAAGTAATTGTGCAAAAAAGCAATAATCCGCACCACGTCCGAGCATTCGTCTCTCGCCAAGCGCGTCGATAAGAGGCGCGCACAATCGGATCTCACGCCGCGAGCTAATGAATCATCGTATAGTGGAGCTGTGCGCGAGAGTTGAGAATGAAAATGCGCACATCGCAGACGGGCAGAAAGCTTGCGTCGCGCGCTACAACCATCCGCCGAAGCTGTGCCACTTCAGTCTCGCGATACGAGCGTCCAACGTGTCGTTGCGCGATTGCCACGGCCTGGACAAAATGATCGACCCAGCAGTTCGTTCAGCTGGCGAAGATCCGCAGCGCGAGCCCGGTTCGGCCGCTGGCCGTGGACGAGCGAGCTCGGGGGAGGGGGGGCGCAACTCACCCTGATCCAGGGGTCTGACGATGGGGCCGTCCTCGGCGACGACGCCAGCGGCCGCGGAGGCCGCAGCAGCGGCGGCGGGCCCGGCAACCATGTTGCTGCCACTGGGCCGAGAGGCTCCCGTCAATCGCTTCTTCGCGGAGGCGACTCTACCAGCGGCGTGCTGCTGGCCGATGCACCAGAACACGAGCTTGCAGCGTCGAAGTAGCGCCGCACCGAGGCACGAGGACAGCGTTACGCTCGCGCTGTTTCGTGGACAAATGCGTCGCCTGAACGCCTCGTAACCCGTGTCTTCGTCGCTCCGCCAGTCCACTCACTCGGTCCGCGCTCGGGCGCACTAAGGCCGAGGCACGGTGTAACCCTGCCGTGGGTTTGCGCGCGCCGATGGCGCAAGCGCGCGCCACGTCGATCAATAAACGACTCCGTAGCCGCACCTGCGCCAAGCGGTGCACGCCAGCTTTGCCGCCGCCGACACACGCGCTTATACCTGTAGAGCTCGCATGGCCTGCTCGTGCTGTCCTTTGTCTTTTCACTGCGCCCCGTGAAAAAGCTCGCGCGTTCTTCTGGTCCAACGCCCATCCGTTCTTCTCGCGCTTGGCCAGCTTCAGCCTTGATCGCGCGCGATGCGTGTTGCGCACCCTGGTCGCGAGCATCGCCTCGTCGAGGCCTCGTCGAGGCGAAGGGAAGATTTATTGATTCCAGGACGCGACGAGATGCTTCTTCTTTGCGGTCGGTGGACTTGCTCGTCGAACGACGTCTAGCTTGGCGTTTATGAGCTTCGATGTGACGCGCTGTCGGCCCGCGATGTCAAATCGGTTGAGCGATCGAACGCTTTGCTACGGGAACATATTTGGTTCGATGTTTAGCTAATTGCCTACAGTATCGCGAGCGCAAGCGAAGCTTTCGTGATTTACTTATTTATCGACTTTGCCCGAAAGCCATGTGGTTGTGCTTCGCAGGATTTTCTAATACGTCAATAGAGTTCAATTAAATCTCTTCTTGCATCCCTGTACATAGAAGAAAATTGGGTTTTTCTTTAGTTTACATTCGAAATTCTTATCCTACTAAATCTAAATGTAAAACTTGGTGGAACATTTTCAATAATTAAAAACCTACAATTTTAAGTAATTTGAGTTCAGTTGTAAAATATTGCCATTATTAATTTCAGATGGAATTTGTTTAAATTAAAAATAACACTATGATATCGTGTGGCTTGTATCAGGTACGAAATATAAACAATAAAAGAGCTACGTCTTATTCGCAATTTATAGCGCCTACGCAAACGCAACTGCGCCTACGCAGATGTCTGATAAAACATCAGCTCTGTAATAGGCAATCGAGCTTCACCTTCCTCTTGTACGTAAGGTCAAGTAACAAGTTTCATTATTCGTAACGCAATTATGAAATTGAATCGTACGTGGTTCGCTGGGAATTTCGTTTTTCGCTAATCACGTATTTTGAATTAACTTACGCAACTAAACAGTTCAATTTTTTAAACAAAAATTCATATCATCGGCATATTCCACCGCAAGCCTCGCACTATTACTCGAAACATTTGACAGTCTGTAAAAATCGCTTCCGCTTACCCGTGCAAATTTTCACCTCGGAGAGGCACATCGAGCTGAAGATTTTAATGGGTTTGTCTTGCGTCTACAACGAGATGGAAATGAGGCATCTTACATTAATATTTTATTTTATTAATTAACATCTTACAGTATTATCTTATTACATTATTTTACAGACAATTTGCTAATGGAAAAATAGTTTAATGAACAATTATTTTTAAATCAAAATTTTGACTAGACTATATACTTAAATATTTCGGATTGGAACCTTTTTAAACAAATTGAATGATTAAATTGATGATATGTTTACAGTTATAAACTTCCCAATGGCCATTTAGTTTGCAAAACAAATTTGTTACGTAAAGGTGAAAAGCAATGTTTTATAAATGAACGATAAACATAGAACTTTCAGCATTCAATACAATGCAGCGAACTATTAATGCTACGTAAAACTTCATCGTTATTCTTAGCATTCAAACAAGTCGAAGGAAAATGCTGCAACAAGACGTCGATTTTATATTGCAATTATATTATTGGTCGCTAAAAGAGTATCAAGGTTTCCCGGAAAAAATTGTTGGATTCTATTTTTATTTTTGTGGACACGCTTGTTTTGATATCTTTACATGATGTTGCTTTAAAAATATCAACCTCACAAGTTTAACAATACAAAACTACAGCGAACTAATCTTTTAATCAAACTAACATATTTTAGACTTCCTGAAATTGTAATAAATGTGATTATCAAATTGAAATTTTTTTTTCATGATTTGCAAAAGATAAATAACTATCATAAAATTAAAATTAAATATTTAATAAAACGTTCGGAGTCTCATTATGAGTATATATAAATTCAAATTTTTCAGATTTATTGTAAAACATTGCGCTAAACGCTTATAATAAGTTATTATCATGGATGCGAACATAAACATAAACAATTTACAGAAAAATCTTCAATCAAGGTAGTCATAAATTTGACAGGAAAAATGTGATATTCAATGTCACCCCATAGCGACGACACTATCTGAAATTTCAGAGTTCGTTCAACTTAATACCGGCTATATAAGGATAAGAGTATAATGAAAATTATTACTACAATTTCAAGGCCTTAAATAAAGTAACCTAACTTTTAACGATTCATTTTATTTTAAATGATTAATTAAAATTGTCGCATGCTGTGCAAAAAAACACTTAATTTGTAAACTTAAATTCGGGGCAGAACAGGCGCAAAATCGAACAGCTCCGTCCAAGTCCCAACTGCATACATCCGCATAGATGTATGTACACATGCACACGCACGCTTTAAAATAGTGAGGGTGGGAGACCCGCAGCTACACTGTACGTGATCGCGCCGCACACGCACGTAGTAAAAACGATCCCTGCCCATACGGCATCTCTTATCGTCTCTCTCGCGACGCATCTTCGAGACTTTGGACGGAGGGAGTGTCTTCAATTCTGCATATAGCACAGCATCTAGACAAAACACACTACAAGTATAAAGAGTTCGAATATGCCTTTTTTTCTAACATATTGATGAAATAGTTGCCAGTTATTATCTTAGAGAGGATCACGAGCCATAAGGTAAGAGACAGTCGCCACTGTACTAGAGTAGGATGTGCAATAACAATTATGTGACTAATTCGAATATTTTCTGTTTCTCTCCGCCGCCGTCTTTGTTACGCGGCCGTCTACATTTCTCTCGGACACGCAGAATAACTCAGGAATTTGCCGGCCTCCAAGATGGGCTTGAAGGAATTCAAGATTTACCTTGATAATCCTTACGCTACTTACTTTCCAAATCAGACTGTGACTGGAAAAGTGATCGTGACTATAGATGCTCCGAAAAAAATTCGAGGTAAGTTTACATAGTAATTAGTCTATTTCTTTTTTTTCGATGTGATTCGTTCATTATACACTGACAGCAAAGTGCATGATGAACGGCTAATTTTAGTGTTTGCAAGTGTAGCAAGAATTCTCGGAATTGCCATTGATGTTCCGATGTTATTTTGGTTTACTAATTGTTTGCTTAGGTTTTGTGGATAATGGAATTTTATTGAAAAAGTAAATTTGATTTCATTAATTACTGATTACATTTTTTTATGATTGTGCAGATTTTCAATAATTGGAACATTATTATTATCTACATTCCTAATTTATAAATTGAAATATACTTTTGTAATTATTAAAATAAACTTTTAGTTGTATTTTGAATAAGTATATTATTCATTATTATTTGCTGTCAACATAGAACTTCTTTATTTTTATATTAGAATTCTTTTTTGATTGTAAATGCAAATTTTATAAATGAATATATATTTTTTTAAATCAATCAATTACATTACTTTTTCAGGTATTAAGTTGACAGTAAAAGGAGAAGCGAACACTTATTGGTCAACAGATAGACAAGAGCTAAATAATGAAGGTAGATACATTAACGAAACTGATACTGTTACTGGCCATGAGGAATATTTCAAAGCTCAATTCTATCTCACTGGATCATCATCTGGTAACTTCAATATGACTATTTTGAATACGGTGTGTTTAAAGTACAAATAAATATAACTCAACATTATCTTTTGCCTGTTCAGGTGATGAGATAGAATTACCTGTGGGAACCCATACTTATCCGATCAATTGTGTTATACCTCCCAATTTACCAAGCAGTTTTGAATCAGACTTTGGACGTATTAGATACACTATAAAGGCAATCATCGATCGCCCATGGAAATTTGATCATGAAACTAAAATGGCCTTCACTGTTATTTCACATTATGATCTCAATCAAGATTCAAGTGCTTCTGTAAGACATTTATTAAAATATTTTTTGTCTATTTGTAATCTAATCACTGAAGTTTTAAAATTATTCTGTTGATAATGTATTCAGGAACCAGTAATGATTGAAAACAGTAAAACATTTTGTTGTCTATGCTGTGGATCACCTCCATTGACTGTGAATGTTTCTCTACCAGTTAGAGGATATGTGCCAGGACAAATAATACCAGTTAAAGTGAATGTAGAAAATCAATCTGGTAAAGAAGTTAATGTTGTGAAGCTTAAACTTGACAAGGTCATTAATTACACGGCATCAACACCACGTCCGGAAACCAAAATAGTGGAAGTGACAGTTGCAGAAGTTAGCAAAGGCCCAATTGGAGGAAATGAAACTACAGCTTATGAGCAAACTTTAGAAGTTCCTCCATTACCACCATCAAATCTTAAAAATTGCAAAATCATAGATGTGGCATATAAATTAAACATTGAAGCTTGTGTTTCAGGGTTGTGAGTATTTTTATATGATTCAAAGTTGAGTAAGAATAATGAGCATACCCTTTTGATAATTTTTCAACAGATTCAGCACTAACTTGACATTTAATACTCCTATTTTGATCGGAACTATACCATTATCTTCGTACCAAATGCCTTATCCAAAAGTCAACAATTACGTACCTACTGTTTACCCAAAATCTGATGAAAGTGGAGGAATGTATCCATCAGTTCCAGAGCCTTCTGCTCCACCTGCAGCAGACATAGGGTTTTCTGGTCTTTATCCAAATCTAGGTAATTTTCTTTAAAAACATTATATTATGAAAATTATTTTAATAAGTATGCTTCTATCTTTAACATTTTAGCTCCACCATCATATGAAGAATCTCAGTTTGCTGCCATGACTCTTCGTGATCGAGATGAATCAGATCATGTAATTGGAGCTAAAGAACACTTTGCCCCAAGATATCCAGTTTATAATTTCAATGCTCCTCTGCAATAGGTGCCTTTTTGAACAAATTGATTTGACGAGCAAAATAAGTTGTGATAATGCAGGCAGTTTGTATATTACAAAGCCTAGGCTTTTTCAGTTGCAATGAATAATTTTAATGATATTGAAAGTAAGACTTATTATTTTGTATAATTATAAATTTATAATTTAATTAACGCACAAATGTATCGACAAAATAAATTTATATCTATTTTGCAAAAATATATACTATATTTTATAAAAATTGTCAAATATGTGCATACAGCATAAATATTTTTGACAAATCTATACTGAATATATGTGTAAGTTAAAAAATAAATACTAATACCTAGATTCCATAGCAGCTTCATTTTATTCTTTTGATTAAGACTCCTGATCTATTGTTAAAATGGAAAATAGTTGTAAATTTTTTTTATAATAAAATTAAAAAATTACTCAACTATTGCAAATTCCCCATTCATTCACTCATTTGTAAGTACTGTAACTAAGAAACTACCTGAGCAACTGCTGATAAATTTTGAACATCTAGCATATACATATATTTTATGGTCATGTAACTTTAAACACTATATTACCCATCTATGTTTTTGATACAATTTCTGATTTGGGGCGATTCCCCCACCATCCATTAATTTCCCGCGGATTTCGGTGATACTGTTCTTTTGTGGTTCGCGAAAGTGTCAAAGTAATCTTGCAAAAACTATCGGAAAAGTTAATGTTCATATTTATACCTCTCGAAGAAAGACTTGTTTATTATTATTTACTGTTGACATATTGAAGTTCTCTGCATAACAGTGTGTGGGACATGGAAACACCGAGCACACAAAAGACTCGCGCTGTGCTCTCATAAGCTCATTATCTTTTTCTCACTAAATTCCAGTGCTTGTTCATTGTGGATAAAGGTTTGCTTAATTTTGCTATAAGTTCAACTATTACAAAAACACAGGAATCGATTTTAAATCCAATATTATTTTTAGTCTGAATTGTTAACACGTTATAATTTTAATTATCTACTAATATAACTGTTTTTTTTTGTGGCCATACTTGTTACACATTGAACGCTATGTAATAATATAATATTTACTCTATAATTAAAAATTTAAGAAAAGTTTATTTAACTTTTTCAATTATGAATTTATTAATTAAAGAATTTTAAATGTATGTCAATTAATATAATTATATTAATTTTAGAGATCATATATTTTATATGCAATATTTAATCAATTTTAATAGCGTTCACATAAGTATTTTTTACTTTTTTCATTTGTTTTAATATTTTTGAATAAAATTTTAACATTTGCATTTACAACTTGATTTAATACATAGGCATGAAAATTATGGAATTACCTGGTGATGATGGAGAATGTGAAATTAAACTTGTTATTACGCCTCAATCAAAGAAATCAAAACAAGGTAAATAATTACTAGAATGACTAGACGTTATATTGTTTCCCATTTAAATATAATCATGTTTTCAATATTGTCATTACAGCAAGATTACCTTTCCAAACATTAAGTACAGATACACCTAAAGTTAATAAAAAAAGGAAACCAGTATCATCGCCAGATTGCAGAAATGCTAAACAAGCTAAAGTTACAACAAAAGAAAATTCTTTCAAAGCATCTGAGCAGAAGACTAAAAATGAAGATGAAAAACTAATTGAAGAAACAGAGGAAAAAAATGACAGTAGTGCTGTGAAAGATACCTCAAAATTCTCAAAATCTGAAGATACAATTGATACAGATGGTACTAAAAATAAGAAGACATCTAGTAAAGGATCAGGAAAGCATAAAAAATCTGAATCAAAAACTCCAGTAAATTCTCTCACCAAGTTTTTTAAAAAAGTCGACAATAAAGTTACCAAAAATAATGATCAGAGTCCTACTAGTTCTAAGAGTAAAGAATTGAAACTTCAAGCTAGTGTCAAAACTGAATCAAAAAAAGTTTCAACAGATTCTAGCTCTGAAAATATTGAAGATGACCATGAAAATAAAAATGTAAATGAATCAAAACAAGATGAAATCTATGACAGTGATATTGAAGTATTAAACGAGATATCTTCAAGTAAAGAAAATGAAACTGCTGATACATCTCATTTGAATAGCACTGAAAATATTACTATAGACTCTGATGCTCTGTCAGATATAGATGATAGTCATGATGATAATGATGATGATTCTCATATATCAGATACTGACAATAAAAAAACAGAACATGAAGATACCGATAGTAAAGAAGATTACAGCAGGGATATTAGCAAAAAACAAATCACACAAGCAAAAAATAAGTTGCTTGATATGTCTAAGGAGAGGAAATTAACTCCCAGACAATTGGAAAAGAAATTAGAAATACAAAGAAAACGAGAGATGAGGGATAAGCAAAGACTAGTAAGCATTTTATTTTATAAAATTAAATGGTCATGCTATTACAATTTTTTTGTGGTGCATACTCAATAAAAGTTGATAGTAATATTTATTAACGTGTAATTTTAATAACATTTTAGGAAAGAGAAAAGAAATTGCAAGAGGAGCGTGAAAGTAGAAAGCGAGAAAAAGAAGAAAAAAAGCGTGAACGAGAAGAGAAGGAGAAAATGGCGAAAGAGCAAAAGCGAAAAGAGAGAGAGTTGAAAGAACAAAAAAGACAAGCAGAACTTGAGTAAGTAAACATAAAAAAGAATGTAATTCTTATTCCAAAACGTCTCAAAGAATAACTATTCACGTGCGCTCGCTTGATTTTTTCAGACAAAAGCAAAAAGAAAAAGAAGCAAAAGAAGAGGACCGCCGTAAACGTGAAGAAGCAAAGGAGGAAGAAAAGAAACGAAAAGAAGAAGAAAAACTCGAGGCGGAGAGAAAAAAACAAAAAGCTGCATCTAATTTCGTGAGTTTCTTCGTGTCAAAGAAGCCAACAGAGACAAAACCCGTGGAGGAAGAGGCAAAAGTTGAAAACAAAAATTTCATGCCTTTCGAGGTGAAGACTGATATGAGATTAGCTCCGAACGTAAGAAGAAAGATAAGCGAAAGTGAAAAATCGAAATTTTATGAATTATTCTTAAAAAACGACTTGGATAAATCTAATTTGTATATAAGTGAATTGAAAAGTAACAAATTAAGGATAAGAAAGTCTGCAAATACTTGGCCTCCGGAAAGTAACGATGACATTATTATAGTGGGTGTGTTTATTTTCCATTCTACTTTTATATATATCAATAATTTGTTGTTACTGAATAAATTTAATTTTACAGAGGATGGGGAAGAAGAGAGCGCTAATGTCATTCAAGCAACAAAAGTGGAGAAACATCGCGCGAAACTTTTGCTATTCGAAGATAACCGGCGACCACCATACTGGGGCACTTGGCGTAAAAAGAGTACGTCTATTAATCCTCGAAGGCCATTCGCAAAGGACGAGGTAAGTTAACAGTTTTATTTTAAATTATCTTGAAATTATATAGTTGCTGCTAGTCGACTAGATATTTTTGAAAATCGATTATTCAGTCCATATTTGAGTTCATAATTGAATCCATAACAAAAGGGAAAAAATTGTTATCTTGATATAGTAAAAAGTAATTGGATGTAATTTTATTGGTATATTTCTCTTAATGCACTTTTTTATCGTATAAACTTTTTATGTTAAATATGGGTCGTTCAGTAAATCAGATAATCTTTATGCATCATTAATTTTACAAAAATGAACGTGCCTAATTTTATAAAAACCAAAATAAGAATTAGGTTTCATCAATACACAAAGGTAAAAATACAAAAATCTGTCAAAAAGACGTCATGGCTTATACAGTTCACTAAAGTACTGTAAATACAAATCTAAATCTTAAATTCTAATGAAGCACTATAGTATGAAAATATCGCAGCAGTATAAAAAAATCTCATTAGCTTGCATCTTAAAAAAATTGGCACTTTTGGCGAAATATTTTGGCAAAGTCTGCACACTTCTAATTCACGTCAAGCGTTCGCTTCTTCAACTCTTTTTGATCCTCTTGGCGCTCTACCGCTAGGATAGAGCGCGTTGTAAGCATTTTTACGGTGAACTTTGCGATGTTTGGCGAGATGATCACTCCGTGCGAATCGTTTGCTGCATAATTCACATGGATAGGGTTTGACTCCGGAATGGGAGCGTCGGTGTCGTGCCAACTCGTCCGAACGACTGAAACGCCAACCACAGCCTGACCACGTGCACGCGAAAGGCTTTTCACCGGTATGCCTGCGTAGATGAGCTTTCAAGTGCGATGCCTTTGCGTAGACCTGTAAAAAAATTGGCGATTCGTTAACGAAAGAAAATATAAATGTGTGAATGTGTAGTGACAATCGTTCGAAGAGATTCAGCACCTTTTCACAACCTTGGTATGTGCATGGAAAGCAACGTTCGTCGGTCGTTTGAACGGTGTTGCGAGTTGTGTAATCGTGAGTTGCCAGAGCTACGTCAGTTGCATTCGTCGCGAGGCTATCGTTCACTTGATTATTGTTAAAATCTGGAACAATTTTTCCTTCAGCAAACGAGAATCGCACGATCGTATACGTAGCTTTTCTACTTACCTAATGCCATAACGAGATTATCATCTAATGATCTAAGATCGATGCCTAAAACTAAGAGAGGCTCCTCGAGCTGCGAATACTGCTGCTGCTGTGGCTGCTGCTGCGACTGCGGCTGCTGTTGCGTAGGTTTCGGCAACTGCAGGTGGAGAAAGTCTTCGCATCCGGGTGTGCAAAGTGGTGTTCTCACTGGCAGACCGGTATTCCATTCTTTATCCAGACACCAGTCCAAATCCGTCATCAAGTCGCTTAGGTCCTCTGCGATTCGTACAATATCGCTTGAAAATAATCAAGCTTCGTTGATTCGGGGGCTGAGTTAATTACCTGGAGGTGGTGGATTATTCGACGCCCACTCGTTCCAAGACACCTCGGGGGAGTACAGGGAGTCGGTGTAAAAGTCCTGCGCGTTGCTCGCGGGATTCTCCAAGTTTTCAAGCAGCTCGGAATTGACGCTGGACGGTGTGGTGCATGGCGTCGCCTCGTAGTCGGAGAATAAACTCGCTGAATTTGGCGACGAATCGTCCCGCGCCACCACCACCGGCGAATCGAAATTCGCTTCAAGGCCAAGGGCTGAGAACAGCAGTTCGTCGGCCATCTGCAAATAATACAACAACCATGAATCATTGATGAGAATCTATGGCTGCGCGCCGCGCGTGTGTCGCATACATCCAACGTGGGTTCGCGATAAAGTCTATACTCGATAATGTTATATAACGCATGTGTTCGCGTATTTTATTTTTTTTTCTCGCGCTCGTGATTTTCGTACTGATTTGCCGGGCATTCTTTTGGGCCAATGGAAAAATTAACTATCCCAATAGGTTTACGTGCAGGCTTTTCAAGTAGACCACTTTGTTTAAGTCGAATACTAATCTGTGTAATGTCATTCTCATTTTCAAGAACAATTTTGTAATTCGTATGAATTATATCCACGATTCTTCGGGAAATTCATTTGATTCGAAGTTATCGCAAAGCACTACCAAGCTAAAGTCAACGTTACACTCAAATGAACAGTGTGTTACAATAATCAATTGAGAAAAACTTCAATGTTAGTCTCAATATATGTGCAATAGCGTAAAAGTCGAACTTGCGCGAGCTCGTGCGTCGCGCTAATGATGAAAAGCCGCGTGTCGTGCATTGTTGTTTGTCAACGGGTTATATTTTATTTCTCCGTAGGTTTTTCTCCATATAAATTCGTGCCAAACTCCCCCATCACGCTGCTACATGTTCTTCACAAACGTCTGCGCGCCGATTTAAATTCACGTTTCTTTTACTTCCGATTCGCGTTGATAACGCTTCTCTTGAGTTCGATTAAAGAAAGATACATGCTCGATTGATTGTGCAAGTCTATGAATAAAAGGATCATCAACTTCTTGATTTTTATTTCAGGTAAAGACTTGCTAATAATATTTCATTCACAATTGCAATGACGTAGGTACTTACGTCAAACATCGAGCTATCTTCAATCATAGTGGAGTCAATAAAAATGCGCCGTCTTCAAAATTCAATGACGCCGCCATTCAAGCGACAATAACGAATTATCCACCGAATAGTCGCACCTTACGCAAACGTCTTTGCAGTCGAAGGCAAGCATTGCCGATAAGGAGCCACGATAATTAAGCGAGGAGCTCTGTGCGCGCGCGAGTCAGGACACGTGAGCTGCGCTCGTCAGGAGCACATCCGAGATGTAACTGACGCGAAACTCTCGTGGAGCCAGGAGTCTCGGTAAGGAGTTAGCTTTGGAGGGGAAAAAAAGAGCGAGCGATTATCAGCTCTGTGCCATTCGGTGACTGCTGTCACCGCGTTCGAAAACCAGCCACACGCTCCATCCCCCGAGGGACCACGTGCGTGTATACGGGGCCCCCCGATCACCGATGAAGACACAAACACTCGCGTTCTACGCTCATCTGTATCCGAAGCTCAGACATTCCGATTGTATACTTCGTTGCTGCTGATGAATTTTTTTAAAGGAAATTTACAACTGCGCTGATAACGAATTGACGTGGGGGGGGGGGGGGGGGAGATTAGAAGAAACCTTCGGTTAAAAGCTGAAAATTATTTGAGATGAGAGTAAAGCGCTTTCTATTTTTTATTGTTGACGATCGGTCGAAGTGTTGTCTTTCATCGTGAAATTTATTCATAAATATTTTTAAGAATAAAACTATCGATAGTATAATTAATATCTTGATTTTCAATCAATCTTAAAAAAATTATTAGTACATAATTTGATCTTATTAACCGAAAGTGTGTATGTGACTACTTTTGAAGTAAAAGTTGACCTTCGTTCATGTTAAAAAGCACTTTTCAGAATATATCCAAAGTTGCATATTCATGGTTTCAGCGTTACAGATGCATTTTGAATCGTATGAAAATTATTTGAATAATTACAAAGCGAGAAAATTTTAAATATTTGCAATTTGTTATGAAGATATTACACTCGAAAGTGAATAGACGTGTTCTTCTGATTTGATGTCTTCAGCTTAAAAATATTGGAATCCCGTGTATAGATCAAGGTTTATCGGGAATTCCAAATTTTAATTGATAGTTAATCCTAGATCTTACATCCTTTTCATAATCTCAAAATAATTAAGTCTTATATAAAAAGCAGACTTCAAAATAGCCTTACATCGCATTCTGGAAGCTTGCAAGCACCTCGCCATTTATGCTCCCTTCAATACGCCACTAATTAACTCGCGCGTGTCCCGATAAACATTCTCGTGCTTTCGTACGATTTCTGGGCATATCACGCCGTGATTTCCGCCTGTCTTCGCGCTATTCGTCACATATAATGAAATAGCATCTGTTTGGTATGTTTTTTTTTGCCTCGCTGACGTTTAATGACTGAAGTGCGACGGTTTTTTAATGCCACATACGCGCGCGCCGATGGTACCAATGACTGTTGGCTTGATAAGATTTTTTGCGGATGTGGACTTTTATTGGAAATTTGAGCCCCTTATAGGCACACATGTCGCTAATCTTAATGATGACCAAGTGCAATCGCACAATTTCTGTTTTATTATTTTTTTTTTCGCAGTGGCTGAACGGACTGTTAATTTGCAATGTGTTCCTTTTTTTCTGAAAAATCGTGAACTGATTTCTTTTCAAATCAACTTGTTATTCAAAATCGGAACATACACGCTTACAGAAGGTTACAATTTGTAAACTATATCAATTTGAAGTCATCCATAAGGACAAATTAATTGTTTGCTTCTATTTTGATGTAATGATAAATTTCACTCGTAAATGTTTTAGAATATAATGTGATATTTCTGTGAATGTGGATTATAACTGTGAGTCAAAGTGAAGTATTATCTCTTCGGTAGATTGTGTAATAGTTGATGCGAAGAGTAACCGAAGAGTTTGCCGTATCAAGTATCAATGTTTATGACCTTAAAAATTGCAAAAAAGATTCATATTTTAATGGTAATTTATTTTATCCAGCTTCTCCAAAATAGTTGCTCGCGCGTGAATAAGGATCTTTTCACAGACATTCATTCGTGTGTTGAAATTACATGATCCGTTAAGTGAAATCCGAAAATGGACATTTTCCGTGACACCAATGCGTTTTCTATAATATTAGAGCTTGTCATTTGTCACGAATCATCGTGGCACCACATTGGGTACTAAAATCGCCTTGAACCTAGAACACCCGCGACTTGTCGTGGTGATGCAGCGGCAGGCTAAACAAGCTGCTTGGCTTATCAGAATTGGGGTATAAAACAGCCATTACACATGGCCCGAAAAGTCAACGTGGGCTTTTCATGGTTTCACACGTCGAATAGGCGCACGCGACAGGTTGATAAGGAAAAAAAAAAAACAACAACCGAATCGAGCGTTGGCACCACTTTGTCTTTCTAGCGTATATCACGCGAGGCAGTTAGAGTGTTGTACGTCACTCTTGACGCTTTATGCTGCATCCCTTCCGCTTTGAATCTGTTTTAGTTTATTATTTGTAACACGTGTCCGTCACGATTACAAAAGTATCTGGAATTCTATTTTTTCTCCGACTTGCGAGATCTAACGTGCAACTGCCGCTTTTGAAGCCGATTTCAGGCAATTCAATTCCTTTATTCCAACGGATCGACTTAAAATTTTCCGTGTCTAAATGTGGAAACCTACGTCCGACAATTCTCCAGTTAATTAATTACGTGATCATGTATGTTGTTGATAAATATCCAAATCTTAATTTAGTGCGATAATGTTTATCGCTAAACTGTGACCTGAGTGAATTCAAGGCCATGGTTTGTCTTGAAAAATATTACCAATTGAATTCGTTTCGGTTACATTATATTTGTGCAATTGAAATCACATTTATTTTTCAACTTTGTTGCATATTTAGTTTCTAAATAATCGGTATAAATTAAAATTTTTTTCTTTTTTTTTTTTCAAATTCATATCACAGCTCTAGAGGATTTAATTTTAGATGACGCAGGCGCCACTAATGTTCAAACCCTATGGGACGGATAAGCGACAATCATGCGGTAGATGCCGCGTCGTCGATGCAATTTTATACGTTTGTCCGTGACATCATTTATCGCAATAGTTTTTCTTTGTTACGTTTTTCTTTCCTAATAATTTTATAAAATACTTGTTTCTCAAATCAATTTATATAAGTAAATTATTAAAATCATTACCTTGAAAATAATGTGCGACTCTGCTGCCATAAGCTGCTACCAAAGTTGTACCAATGAAACGGATCAATCTCGATCACTCATCTTTTCTTCCGGCTCAATCCCATGGCGGTCATTTCGCGCGGGCCTCGCTCAATAAATTATACTGTTTCTTCTTCTCTCCAGTAATAAATTAATGCCTCAATAGTAGACGTTTTTACGGAAATGAAATTGAGATTAATTGATCGGTAGAAAAGTCTCAAATCTTATCCTAACAGCCAAACTTTTTATTTCTTTGTTCTAAGACACTTCATAAAAGTGTCCTTCGTTATGTTGTCAATGTTGTCTGGCATACTTCCCACATTACTACACAAAACTGATTCATTTCAATTAGATAAAACGTAGTGGATCAGTAAACAAGCGTGAGAAAAGCATGATTAACTAGTAAAAGAAGCTATTTCAGTCAGCAGATTAGCATGCGTGAATGATGAAAATGTTGAATGATTAAGAGCGTCAATATTATAAAGCAAACTAATCGATTTTCGGAACCTCAATAAGCACCAAAATATTTGTGCTAAGTACAGTGTTAGATGTTAATCGATCTAGATCTATACCAACCAATTTATTCAAATGGCAAAATATTTTCGGTTGTTTTAATAATTGTTCTTGAATCTCATCAAAGTGCCGTTGAAATTGTAGGAAAATGAAACAAAATTCGTTGAAGTAACGTCAGCAGCCGTTAAATTACGAGTATGCGGCGATTCGAGCGTGACAACTCTTCTTCATTGACTAAGTTTGAGATTAAAAAAGTTGGCCGAGCATCGCGCTCGCCGCATTCACGGGCATAGCGCGCGCGTTGCGTTCTCCAGCAAGCAGATAAGGCACTCGTCAAGGAAGTTGACTGATACTGATGTCCTGCTTATTCACAAACACATCGCGCCTGCGAGATTTCGAGAGCCAGATGCAGAGATACCTAGTTGATCATTTCTTTTTTACTCTCTCTCTAGCGCTTTCTTTCTTTCTTTCTTTCTTTCTTTCTTTCTTTTTTTTATTTCCAATTGCGTACGACGTTTGACAATACAAAATGTCATCAAACAACATTCGAACGCAGAAATTTTTTGTTTGTTAAGCATGATATGAATTGTTTGAATAATACAGATATAGCAGACTTTTATTGAAATATATAATACTAATTTATCGACTTGTACATTTTAGAGCTGTTTCGATTACGAAGTTGATTCCGACGATGAATGGGAAGAAGAAGAACCTGGAGAATCTCTGCATGGATCTGATGATGAAAAGGATAAGGATGAGGAAGATCCAGATGAAAATGATTATGATGTCGACAATGAATTCATGGTTCCTCACGGGTATGTGTATTTATATTATTACTTAGCTAAAGTAGAATGAATACATTTTTTGATTGGACTATTTTAATTTAAGGTATCTGTCAGAAGAAGAAATTATGGCTGATGAAGAAGACGATGAAGATGACTTGGTATGTCATAAGGCACATCTGCAAATTTCTGTCAACAAATATGTATAATATTATCAACAAAAACATTTTTTATTTTATAATACTTATCAATGAATTCTATTCTATCGTGCAGTATTATCTAAATATAATTTATTACTTCGAATTGATTTTTACATAATTAATCAATTAGTTTTAATTTTAATAATTATTTGTTTTGATAAATACACATATGTGAGATTTACTTTTCCAAATAATTGAGGTGTATTTGTTAAATGTTTTAGAATCCCGAAAACCAGAAGAACAAACTAAAAATTCTTGGAGAACAATTTGAAGCTGAGAGAACGAGAAAGACGACAAAATTGAAGCCCAAGGTAATTGGATGCGTCTGGTTGCACAGTGATAATACCTATCCAGAATCCGGTAAGTTTTTAATTAAATTCATTTTTCTAAATGTACATTTATCAAGCATGGCTTCTTTTCGTAGTACCGTCACGTGCCAGTTCGTTCTTAATAGCTCGTCAAGCTTGGACACGCCAAATTCCGGTCATATTGGCTGCTTCACCTGATACTGACAAAGTTAACGACGATAATTCATCGTTAGGCAAACCTGGTATTGGATCCAGTGCAAGAAAAGCTAAAGCCCTGGAAGAAGCTACGCCAAATTTGATACAATTGGTACATGGCAATATAAACGGTTGCAAGTTTTTGGTAAAAGAGTTCTTAGAGTTCTTGGCTAAAACGAAGGAGGGAGAACAGCCGATGCCTAAAATGAAAATACAACAGAAGATTAAAGAAATTGCAGCGTGGATGAATTGTACGGAAAGTGGACCAATGTATGGTAAACATTGTTGGTGGGTATCTGAGGAAATTCGAAAGAAGTACTTTGGCGAAGAAAAACTTTCTATGCCAAATGCTTGGACTTACTATTTAGAACCAAAGAGAAGGACAGTAGCCGTGGAGCTAACAGAAAAAGTTGACGACAAAGAAAAGGAAAAAGAAAAAGAGAAGGAAAAGGAAAAGGAAAAGAAAACCGTGCCTTTGATAACTCAATTTACTAAAACGCTGACTGCCGAAAATATGCAAAAACAGTTGACTGAAAAACCATCTGTTACTACACCAAAGACGGTAGAAAAAGTCATATCGGCATCAAAAATAACTCCTCTTTCGAATAGACCTCCAAAACGTGCTACTCTTATTTCTGTTCCTCGGGGAGAGTCACTTCCCAAGTCACCTCGTATTAGTCTTATGGAAAAATTTGTAACTAAGGACGGTGCCGATGATAGTGTCACTGATAAAAAGCCGAAATCTGATAATCTTGACGAAGAAGATTGCATGATCATTGATAATTCTGATGAGAGTATTGACGTTACGCTAGCTTCAAATGTATCAAATGTCACAAAGAACGTTAAAGAAATGTCGAATAAAGAAAAATCAGAAACTGATCAAGATGTCATTGTGGAAAGTGAAAAAAAGAGCGAGAAACTGGACAACTCATCGGCAAATTCTGATATGGATGTCGTTGAAAATTAAGTGTTTGACGATGTATTATTCTAAATCGTCTGAAACATGTGAATCATGTAAAATACAACATAATATAAGCAGATATATTCTACGTTTATACGAATTAGTTTTAATTTTGTAAAATTCATGAATGTTTTTTGACGCATTTTTATTTTAATGTTTTTCGTATATTTTCTACTCTGTATTAGGTAATAATAGGAGAAGACAAATTACTATGATCAAGCTTAATATTTTTTATAGTTAAATATGTATAATTTGATTTTTCAGTCAAAACTTACGAAAAGCTTTTCAAAACATTCACACTTAGCAGTCTTTGTGATACATAATTTTGTGCCTTAATAAATATAAAAATAAGTGTTACTGTTGTATTGGCATTTAAAAAATTTTGCAGAAATTATATTAGATATCTTGTTCACAAACCGTATTGATTACTATTTTATTTTTAGTCGTCGCTTCATAATCCATGCAGCAATATACTATACTTTGAATAGTTACTATCATACTAATCATTTTTACATATTTTTTAAACCCAATACTAGTTTATTGTAAAGAAGATAACTTTAAGAAATATATTATTTTCACTGCTATATATTACAAGTTATTTAAAAAACAGTTCTGGAAGATTTAATGGTCCGTTTGTATTATTATGTAGTTTTATGGTGATTATTTAAATAAAGTCAATACTTAACAAGACAATACTTTATTTTCTATATTTGTGAGCATTAAACAAATTAATTAAATTTTGAATTTTTTAACAAAATTTGAGTAGTCGATAACATAGAAATCTTATATGGATATCCATAATGTAAACATATCTACTTTGCCGACATAATGTTTAAATATTTGAAATGATAGGTGCAACACTAAATATATTTAACTTATTAAAATATCAAATAATATTTCAGGAAACGTTTTTGACAATATATGATCTTTAATCTAGATTAATATAGCTTATTTAGATAAAAAAAGAATTTCGAAAATTCTGAAAAAGCACTTTTGCAAAACCGCCGTAAAGTGTATTTTGTGTTGAAGTTTCACGTGTACTTGTTCGTTATGGACCATTACCATATTTTGCAATTAGTTAAATAGTTATGTTTATTAAACAATAAAGCCGTCATTGTGAATTGCACAAAAATTAAATAAATTTCTCTCTACTAATACGATTGTATAGTCGCAAGAACATAGCTGACGTTCAACGACAAGCAACTCGCAGAAAACGTTTTCGAGAAAAGAGCAACTCGTCGAGGCGAACAATAAAAAAAGAAACACGGTAGACGCGCATAAAACGAGAAGAGACGCGAGAGTTTTTTACGGTCGGTAGTTCGAAGTTGGCGCCCGAAGGATAATTGTCGTCCTTCTCGTCGTCGCCATGTGTCCGAAAATTGCGAAAAAAGGGGCGCGAGAGCGAACGCTCTGATTGCCGCAATTATCGAATTACCCCACTATACGCGAATTAGTCGGGGCTGTCGAGGATCGTCCGCGCGCACGTCGAAGCTCTCTCGCTCTCCGCAGCCAAGAGAACTTCAGAAAGCGACCGGTGCTCTTTTATTGCTTTGCGTTATTGTTCTACAAAAAAAAAAATGGAGCGGTCAGTGAACGCCAATCTTATTTTGGTTTTACGTAATTCAAGTTTTATACACGAACTTGGAAAATTGAAAACGTTCTCTTTTTATTGCATTACAATGATAAATTATATTCACAGTGCAAATTAATTTACTAATGAAGATCCGAAACAATATGTTCTTTGTAATCGAATTTGAAGTTACTATTGAAATTCATTTCAAATTTTGTTAAATGACATAGAAAATATGTTCTTTGCTCGCTTCAAAACAAACAAAACAAAAGAAAAGAGACGTGCGTAATTTCACAAAGAAGTATATTTCAAGTAAAACTGCAAAATCCATTTATTCACTTGTACCTCTCTAGATATAAAGTCCTAGAAAGTACTACGTTGCACCTGAAAAATAAAGCAAAAGAAGCAAAGCAATCGTTGATGTCTGGGAGGCAAAAAGTAGAAGCAGAAGAAGAAAGAGCCAAATCGATTGCTACCCCGTAGCACGAGACAAATGGCCAGTCTCTGCTCTACTGTTTCTCTTGAGGATCACTGCTCTCGATGACTTCGAGACATTCTTCGAGCCTAATTGCTCGTAGAGAATCACCGATAGCCCAAGGGCTCTCACCATTGCTGCTGTTGCTGCCGTTTGCCACGTAAAACGATCAACAGCATCGAGGCACAAACCTTGTGTCGATGATTAAATAGAGAAGGAAGGGACAAGTCGGTGTTTCGAACGAAAGCAAATAATAACTTGAACCACTAATTTTGCGCTTGCGACAGATGCTCAGAGCGACCGCCGATTTGGGCAGGTGTCCACCGAATTTGCGACAATGGAGAACTAGAGTTTTACGAAGTGTTTTTTTTTCTTGCTTTTGCGGCGAGTCAAGGGAAGATTTGAGTTGGTCTTGGCGCTTGAATTTTTAAGGCGTAGGTCAAGTAAATTATGAAACATATTAAAAAAGTGTGTTTTTTCAAACACAACGTAACATCACAGAATATCTCGCAAGCAAATGAAGTACTTAATTGTAGCATGCTGACAAACATCTATACAGTCGAAGAGAAATTTTTATGATCCGGTTTGCTTTACGCGCTTGTCCAATGAGTTGAGTATAACAATAACAACAATAGTTGTATGTAATGTTCCAAGGAAAAAATATAATGCATAAACAAATATAAACTAAAGACCACGCTTTTCAATCGACTGCCAGTATTATTACAAAATTTGCATTGGAGAATAGATCCGAGCTGTTGATCGATTATTTTTTCCATAGACTATTCCCCGTGAATATTAAGCTTTGGAGATAGGGACACTATTGCAGAAATTGATTCAACACTTGCCATTATACGGCTGTACGATTTGTTGAAAATTCCTTATTATTCAAATGGAAATAGGTAAAGCGCTCATAACTCCTGACTAAATAATTCGGTTATAATCTTGTTAGCTCTGCTAGCGCTTGGAAGGGTAACGAAACGAGTTATCTACTTGATTTTTAACTGCAACAACGAGGCATGGAGTATTTCGTTCAAACTGCGGCGATAAACAATAGGAGAACTGTCGTTTTGTAGCGACGTTCAGTTGAGGACCTTATAACAGTAATGGAATTGGCCCGGCCTTAATACTCCTTGGTACGGCGATTCCAAGTTTAACAACGTCACAAATAACAGCAGTTTAGTCAGCGGAATATAAAAGCGACTGCTACTCATTGCACCTACATGGCTTTGTCTCTAAGCTAGTGTGATTTTCTTCATACGGCGTTTAACTTTCATGCGAGATTCGATGCTTTTGTTAAAATCGTATAACAAGTAGAAAATGACCGGAGCTACGCAAACTATACAAATTAGCACTCGAAATATGATATTATGTACATAATACCGCACGGCTTTATTTGACGGTTAAGTGCGGAGGAAAATTGACGGAATTCTACTGGATTTGGAAAAATAACCGGCGCTATGCAATTCAATGAATTATCGACGTTTAAGTGAGAAAATGAAGTGTGAACTAATTTATGATTCATATATTGATAAAGCTCGGGCATTTCATTATTGTACCCTATAATCTTTCTCTATTTTCTTTCTCTTTCTCTCTTTAACGTTTCTTATTTCGTGAAATATACTCTACGGGATGAGGTTGTTGCTCTCGCTTACTATTAAGTTTATTTTTAGTTGCTACCATGCTATTTTGTATAGGGCAGAAGAGACCACAAAAAGATGAGGCTATTTGTGCCAAACCTATTATCATTTCAATTACACGCTCGTATCACAAGGTGGATTTTCCTAGATACTTGGAAATAAATTATTACTGCCAAAAACTGCAGGACAGAATTTACCGCTCATGCGTGAGCTGGGATACGCCGATTTTACATAATATATATTACTTGATAATTGAAGACTTACAAATTAAAACAATGAGCAATATATTTAATGCAAAATAATTTATTGTATACAAGATTTCGTGTTTTGTGTTGATTTTATTCCATTTCATTTATTCTGGTTAGTTCTATATTTTTTAATATTTTTTAATATTGTAAACTTTCGAAAAGGTATAGAGTTCTAGATAATGCCGCAATTAATATTAAATTTGATAAATTATAGGTACATTCCAATGAGCTTACTCACTAGAATACCGTATAATCCCGTAAAAGTGTGACAGTTACAGTTAGTGTTAGGAAATTCGATGAATTTTCATGAATTATGGTAATTACGTATTAGCGTATTTTGATATTTTAATGAGTTTTAATGAATTATAATGAATTTTGATGAACACTAACACTTTTCTGGTATCATGTAATAGATATAAATTTCATTGAACCAATATTGATATTTCGATATCGATGAGCTTTTGAACACTTGTTAAGTTATTTGTGACAAAGTGTGCTATTTCAATGTCTGATGTACGATTACTAGTTGAAATCAAGAAACAACGTTTTATTTATATTTTATACATTTCTAGTAAATATTTAGATGCAATACTGTATTTAGGTAAATCATAAACAATGGATAAAAAATAATTCAATAAATTTTATTCAAAACAAAAATGTAGTCTTATTCAATATTCAACAAAAAGTTATAACAACGTTCATATTACAAGGGTAAGACAGCACTGAATTACTGGTCTTTGACTACCGTAATTCACTAAAGTATGCAAATAAATGTCTTTCGTGTGCATCATCAGTTGTCGTAGTGGACAGTATGAAAGCTCTTTAATTATCCATAAAGTTGGAGAATTCTGTTCCACTCGTGCGGATGATAACTTTTCATGTAGCGTGCGATTTGACCAACCATAGCTCTCTGCCTAGCACTACACAAGGCGCAATCACCGTCTACAATATGAGGCAGCATAGCTATAAAACAAATGAAAAAATGTTCACTGGACCATTTGAAAAGTTGTAAGTCCTAATATTTATGATAATGCTCGCCGCAGAGTTCGTTGGGAATGATTCGTAGACAGATATTTCGATTCTTTGTTTTCCAGTCGCAGGGACAAATTGAAAAGACAATAAAATTGGCCGCTCACGCGCGAGTCGAATCAAGTAGATTGACTAACCTTTAACTTTTCTACTGGCACTGGTGCAGGGGCTCCTCTGCAGAAGACATCCGAGATGTTGCTTGACGAACTGCTGCGCGAATTGATCGTTCTCTCTGTATCCGTTAACGGCTGCCAGTGCCGCGAAAAATAAAACGACGACGCAGGCGTATTTCATTTTGGAGGACTGCGGCGTCGGCGACCTTGCTCCGTCCGCGCCCGTTGGAAGCAGGAAAGAAAGTGCCTTGCTTTCTGGAACGTCGACAGGGCCTTATATATAGATATAGGACCGGCTCAATTTTGGGAACTCCGGTAACCTCCCAAACGGGATTCCCGAGCGCTCGTGGCCTCACAAAAAAAAGAAAGTAAAGCCGTGTCCCACTCAGTGACGTCTGCGCTAAGTCGAACGAACGGCAGACTATCGCCGAAACCAATGCTTTCAAATGACTCTCGAAGGCTGTCACTTGTTTTCTTTGTTGTACGGATGCAAGCTATCCCAATGCGAATAATATATTTGTCATCGAACGCGAAACTCGCTTGTTCTCTTCATCTTTTTTTTTCAATAATATTTCTCTCAAGCGAAATTTCACTCATATTTCGAATCGGATTTTTCTCGGTGCACGAATTTAAACGATACCGATAGGATATTTCA